CATCCTCACTCTGAAGTTAGTCATACGAGGAGGCTGTGCCCCAAAGCCGCTACGCGGCCTAGCCCCTAGGGGGCGCGAGGCGCCCTCCGAAGCGCCCTTTGCGGGGCCCCGTGAGTTAATTTTAATAAAGCAGGCTCACAATCAGTATCATCTAGGTAACATCTTCTATTAATAGCCGCAAAAATCACGAAAATCGCTCCGATAGATCTTTAGGGCGAACTTTAACAAAAAATTGAACTTTGCATTGTTAAGTGGAATAATTCATTACTTTAGCACGTAATACCTGTACAAAAATCTTTGTCATATTCATAAAACCTAAATAAAGCGGGCTTGTCTAGAAACGTCCACCTGTATCTCAATTTAATTTACAACTGGATGAAGAAAGGCGAACAAATGAGTTGTCGATTCGCTGCTATTCCGAGACCGAGGCATATTATTATTATAAAAAGCTGTAACAAAAAATGAAGATTTCGAGGAGACTTTATCGTCACGATGAGGTTATTGAGAAAAAATCCGGTATTTTGAAATGGTATGTTAGTGGTGGTAATTCCGAAAATCGGGCTTGATGCACTTCTCGCATTATTTTCGGTCATAATGTATAATGTATGTGCACGAGAAGGTAGAGATCTACAGAGCTAATTTCAGTGATTTCTCTACTATTGGTATGAGTGTTAATGGATAAATCAGTGTCGTGGCGTGCTTTGCCACATATCTATTGATCTACCTCGAAAAAAGATCGATGAACAAGGTGTTCGCAACAAACACCTTAATAATCGATTCTTTCTCATAGCTTCAAATGGGGAATATCAATAATCGATCATTATCGCCTCACCACTTGTATAGATGAGCCTGCTGTCTTTAAATAAAAATATGTATTTTAATACCCTGGTAAAAATTGGCGATAGGAGCTGCGTTTCAAAATACCATAGGAATTCTTATAGCCGGCTAAAAAGGCAATAGAAAATCATATAGCTGGCTGTAGAAAGCGGAGCAAATCATATAGCCGGGCTATACGAAGCGATAAAAAAGTGTGCAGCCGGGCTATAGTTCCTATCGCCGGGCTTTACACTTTATCGCCATCGGCTATAAAAGGCTATAAGAAATTGTGTAGAAATTCGTGTGCTTTGGAAATCATTAAGTTTGATACAGAACCACCATAATATTCACAAAACACACATTATATTTTCCTTTAATTCATATTTTTTTTCATCAATTAAAATGAGAATATTCCATACAGGATGTGCAAATTTTCAAAATCATGAGTTGAAAAACGCTGACTCCGCAAGATTATATTGGAGCCAAACACAGAGCGGAGCGGCGTGCTGCCAGCGATAAACACGTACCAGCGCCTACAAACCTAACAGGGATACTCCACGCATGGCGCAATGCGTGAAGTATCCCTGTTAGGTTTGTAGGCGCTAAGGCGCTTTTCGCGCTGGCTGCCCGCTCGCCGCGCCGCAGCGTGCCACGGCGCTTGAAGCAACTATTTCACACCAGAGGTATTGCACAGTATCATACGAAATTGAAGGCGCTCCAACATATTAGGAATGGCAGGCATCCTTCAAAAGAACGGAGCTTTCCGCGCAAAATAAATCAAGATAGGTACTGTACGGCCCAAAAATAGAACGGTAATCCATAAACAGTCCTAACATCCGTAATTAGTAACATTTAGCATCCACTTTATCGCCTGGCTGTTGCTCAATCGCCATCGGCTATAAAAGGCCATGAGAAATTGTGCAGCTGACTATAGAAGCTATTGAAAATCTTACAGCCGGCTTTAGGTCTACGGTATTTTGGAACACAGCTTCTACTGCCAATTTTTACCAGGGTAAAAATATTCATAATTTTCCTTAAAAATAACCATTTTATCGAAGGAGATTTGGCAACTCTCGAATGTTCATACGGCGTTCTTCCTTAGCAAGGCAGTATAGTGACTGTTGCGTCACTCATATCATCGATATCAGGTATATCAACAGTGAAACTGCAAAAAATGCGTATTTCGGTTGCAGTGTACCAAAATCTCCGAGTATGTATTGTTTAATATATTGTGGCAAGAGGGGCCTCCTCCGGGAATTTTGAATTTTGAGCCTCTCTTGCGAGGAAGCTATTTCAACATTTTTGAAACATAAAATGGATCATTAAAAGGAGGAGCCAAATTTTATAAAAAAAAAAGGGAGGGGGAGGAGTCAGGAGCAACATAGAATAAAACTATTTTTGAAGCTCTTGTGATAAAAGTAAGACAGAAAGCTCACAGTTTCTTTACCAACTTGATGTAGGTACCGCTGTTGCCACTGTTGTTGCTGATGTTTCTGCTGTCGTTGCTGCTGATGTTGCTATCGCTGCTGTTGCTGCTTTTGCGGCCATCATGCTGCACATTTACGGACGAAAAATTCGGGGCCAGAAATGTTCGTTCATGCGTCGATTTTATGTATGTGCACTGTTCACACACGCCTTATCACCACACACCATACATTCTTCTCATTATAAATATTGAGTTTGTAAAGCGAGTTTAAAAACTCCACGGAAAAAATTGAGCAATAAGAAGACTTATTTTAAAATATGAAGGGAAACGTATCTAATTTTCTTCTTCTTCTTTCTTTCTTTTGAACCAGCTTATTTTAAAATCTCGTCCAAGGCTTTATTCAGCCTTAGACATTTAAATGGGAAATCTAATGAGGATTCGCTAGACATTCTTTAACTACGTTTTTCTCGGCGAGATGTGGCAACATTATTAAGACATTTATGGAATAGATACTTATAGATCACTGAATCCGTGATGATGTTAGTCATTTTCTTGAAATTTTACATTTTACGTTTATTGAGGGGTGCGCATCCCCTGATCGCTTTGCGGCCCAACCAACCTTCCAAAGCTCCGCGCCTCTTTTGTGTCTGTATGTGCGATAAAACGGTTTGTCGTAACAGCTCATTTCCACCAGCTCCATGGTAAAAAAGTGGAAATTTAGCTAAAAATTCCCCTAAGAAAATTAATTTTCAATACATGTTTCAATGTAGGTTTTACAATAGAAAAAATGCTAATTTTACCACCCCCGTGGTTAAATTAACTTTTCAATATTGTAAAATGTACATTATTTGAAACACGCCGGGCATATTTTTCAACAATTTAATTGTTAAATCAGCAATCCATTTTTTAAGTAATTAAGAAATCTCCCATAGATCATTGGGTAAAAATAGGAGGGGCGGGGGTGTCAGATCTGCTATTCCCCACGTAATAGCATTTAACATAAAAGTGAGATAAGCAGTTATGCCACTGTGTCAAGAATTCTGAAGATGGAGTAATTTATTTAAAGAGTCAGGCTCAAGCTGACCGCGAGACAGACATTGAAAAAAATGACGTAATCAGTAAAACTCTTCACTTAGTCGTTGCAGTAGGGGGGGTTACAGGACCATCGTCTAATGGCTGTAAAGCACATAAAGAGCCGGTTAGAGTGACCAAGGCAAGAAGGAGAAAGCATTATTACTTTCTCTTTTGAGGAAGCCGCACCCGAGTCCTCCAGACTCGTTTCACTCGCAATCAGTTCCTGCCTCCCGCTCGCGTCAACAACGCAAATGCGCCCATAAATCGTGTCCATGAATTTGAAAAGAGCTTAAACTTTATTTTAAAGTGCAGTTCTTACACTGACATTTCTTGCGCTAGGTGCTAGGATATGTATATCGACGGTGTAAGTCGGCGATCACATAACGCGGTTTGCGACGTCGCAGACTTCCTGTCATACTTTATTTTTTAAACGGAAAACTTCTCAACGGCAATTCTGTAAAACTGCCGGGATTGGTCTTCTCTGTGCAAAGAAAATCCTGCTGAAACTTCAAGGAATGATGTCAATTTGTTCTCCTTTAAAAAAAAATAACATAGAGGCGGAGATTTTCAGATACCGCGAACGAGATATGTGATTGGGGACTTACGCCGTCGATGTGGAAATTCTTGAAATAGGAATAATTGTACTCTCTGGGCTTACATTAACATCGTTCAACTTTTGCCCCTCCGAGAAAAGTACGTAACAAGGGACTTGGAGGACAAGGCGCATAAGTGCAGTATTTTTTAAAAAAATCGAGGTATAATGATTTCAAGTAAAACTAGTAAAATGCAATTCTGTGAAATTTTCGCTCCTAAATTCCATTTTTTAAGCACCAAGAAGTCAGTTTAAACTTTCTTTCCGCCATAAGGATCCACGTATTTTCAAAACTTCAAACACGTATTTCTCGGAATGTCAAAAACTCCACTTATCCGCCTTGCCCTCTAAGCCCCTCAAAATATGTGACATTCTTACCGACAATGCGTTAGCAATATGTTTCTGGATTCTTAAAAGGCCCGCGAAATCCATAGTTTTTTGTTAAATTAAAATTACAATTAGATGCTTTAAACAACTGTCATAGTTCAGAAACGTACAGATCTAACGAATAGGTCTTGGGTAAGTATCATAAGTGCCAAGTTTTAAGATGGTGAGAAGTATTTTCACGGTTGTTTTTTGCTTCCTTGGTTGCCTATGTTCAGCTTGAAGGGGTGCGAAATTATGTATTTCAAGCGCCAATTTCGGCGCATGCAAAATGCCTACTTCATCCGCAACAGTGTTTACGTGATCCTCTTGGAACACAGTATCACGAGCGCCAATATTCGTTGTAAAATTTATTTTTTTCTTAAACCTTCCACAAATTATTATTTGTAAACGTATTCTGCGCACATGTGCCAAAATTCGAGCCGAAATAAGATTTCTAGCCACCGATATCAATTTTTGTGTCTTCTGCGAAACTGACGTTTTGGCATTTGTGGAAGTCTACCCGTAAGGTTTGTGTTTCATGATTAAAACATTTTCTCGTATTATTATTTACGCAAAAAAAATTTTTGTTGAAAATTTTTCATTTAAGCACGAGAGTTTCAGTTTTTCTATAGGTAACAAATTACAATTCAAATGTTTTAATCTTGCATCAGATTTTGTCAATATTATTAGATGATCGAAGGGAATTAGGTACCAAGAACAGAGGCATTATTGTCCTATTCATTTATTTTTCTTGATGTACAATAAAAGAAAGAGAAACAATGAGGGGTCTAATGGAACAAATTATTCACCCACGGGGAAAAAGATACTGATATGTAGATTTATATCATAACCATTGCAAGCAAACGCCAATTATGCAAAAATTGAAATGCTTGAATGTATAGCCGTCTGAAATAGTTTAGGAGGATAAATACATAATGGTAAGGTAGGACTGGTCCAAACCGGTCCCTTGTATGGATGATATACATGGGGTGTTCTAAAAGTCTTGTCCCTAGCGCCCTGCTATGAGTGGGCAAGTAAAGCTAGCAGAATGCAAATGCTGCGAGCTTAAAAATCATTTTTTCGCTAACATGAGAGTTCATGACGAGAATTTTGCAACACTCCATGTGCACATCATCCAAAATGTTGCATCACAATTCAATGTTCTTTTCCCCCTCAAAAATGTGATCCATCTGTGAGTATTGCTGACAATTTGCCATAGTCGAGCCAAAAATATTAGGTTCAAGTTAATGTTTATGAGAAGCTCAAAATTTCTGGTGTGTTGCTTACTTGGCATTGTTTCAAGCAGTCCCCAAAAATTACCTTTTTATACAGGGAATGGGACGAAATAAATTAAATTCGTCCATGCTGGCACATAAAGAAGGAAATATTGCGTTTTTTTGATAGAGCTAGCGTTCTCTTGCTTAACAATTTTCCTCAGCTCATAAAATTGTGCCGTATACGTAATATTTTACGATTTTAATTTAAATTTCACACTTTTTAAATCAATCTAAAAGTTGAAAACGTATTCTTTTGGCGATATACGCCTGAGGCGCTAGATTTCCTCTTTTAATTTTGCACCGGTTCCCCTGGAACCTCTCACTTTGAATACTTTGGTCCATAAATAAGTCACCGAAAACGGGTCACTAAATTTTGTACATACACTGGTGCTTTCTGATGGAGCCCCTTTCCTAAAATGACGATGGATTTTATCAGTAAATTTCTTGATTTGTAGAAGCTTCATCCATCTCGGGGAGTAAAAATCTGGAGGAAATGATGTATACTCGATGACTTATGATCTCAGGTCATTACGCGTCGCAGTGTAGGCTGAGAATTTTACCTAGCTTTGCCAACCTGGTCGATTTGGGACTGGAGGTTGTTGACTACCTCTGGTGGGACGTGGTCGCCAAGGATGTCAACGAGGTTGATGCGCTGGTCCCCAGGGATGGATTCGTAGGCGGCGATCTCAACGCCCTCTTGGACTTTCTGGATTTGGGCCCCTTGCGGAATGAGATGTGTGCTCTGCACTTGTCGGATAGCCTCGTTCGTCAGGAACGCGCCCTCTTTGCCGTGTTGGGGTCTCGGTGCGGGAGCGGCTGAGCACACGGCTACCAGACAGATCAGCAGTGCGCCACCCAAAGTGAGCTTCGTCATCATTCTGTAAAACAATCGAATAAGATGTATCATTCACTGCCGACTCATCAATCACTCGTCAATCTAAGAGTCGTCGTTGATTTCGCAAACGAACGATTAACGTCTATTTTAAATTTGGGACAGCAATTAACACGACCCATATCGGATGAACCGTGGGAGAAGTTTACCGACGCATCATGTCTACTGCTCAGTCGGTGTTTGTAATTCGGCTGACGGATGATTCGTTGCATATCGATTGGTGACACTCCCAGACTACGTATCTCTGCATTGGCGTAAGGTGGGAGAGGGGGGTGGTATTCCTAGCCCCCTTAGAACTGAAAATAGTATCAACTGGCCCCCCAGGAATTTTGGATGGTGGGAAAAACCCTCGTCGCGTCGTGAGAAAAACCGTTCGTACTTTTAATGTAGAGTCTTAATGAAAACATTATGCTCATTCAGGTTACGCACTGATAAAAATATTTGTGTTCTTGTGTTACTTTTGGTTAATATAGGAAGTGAAACATAAACCAACACAAATTTGTTGTTGAATGAAAGTACGGCTTGTTATGCTGCGGGAATTCAAAAGAATGTTTCTCTCATCTTGAGTACAGTGTAACAGCTAAAACACTCGCGAAATCGCAAGTGAATGAGTACCGCACATTCTATGAATACAGCCTTTGCATAATGCAGTAATGCACGTCACAGGTCACACCCATCTACTTTGTTCGTCTTTCGTTTAGGTCTCTGCCAATACGCACCGCATATGGGTAATCTAGAATTTTTCCTCTAAAAATTTCAGGGAATTTGCATCACGTCACAGTGGATATCCTATCGATGATGAAACTACCAGATCGCGTATCTCGTTAGCGGTGTTTAAAAATTTCCGCTCCCAATTTCCTTTGAAGGAGAACAACCCAATATCCTTTCTTGAAATTTTCACAGAGTTTTCTTCGCATAGAGAAGAAAAAACACGATAGGTTTCAAGAGCTGACGTTGAATGGTTTTCCATTTAAAAAATATGGTAGGACAGGAAGTCTACAACGTCGCAAACCGAAATACGTGGTCTGGTGGTTTCCCCGTCGCTATGTAATATTTAAAGAATCCTCGCTACCGTTTTCCCATAATAAATAAACCATCAGAAGAAATTTGGCAACGGCTAATGTGACATTGCTCCTTTCTGCTTAACGTCGCACTGTAAACCAAAATTCACTCAGATTCGGTTTCGGTCTCATTTCTTTGAGTCACTTCAATCTCTGAGAGAGTTGCTCAGAGTTTTTTTTAGCGGCGGAGAAATTTTCTCACGATTCAACGACATGGATCCGCGAAAGAACATGCCAATGCGCAATTTTTCACGGCAAACCTTCCCGACGGTCCCATAGATATTTTAACTCAGGTTCAGATTCAATATAGAACATTTCGAAATTCACTCAGAGCCCAAATTATTTTTAACAGTGCACGACCTACGTATAAATTTGATTCTGAGAGCGCATGCTGAGGCATCGTTAAAAAATTTTAAACCTGTAATCGACCCCCACCCCCTCCTCCAATACTTGGTGTTATCGCAATTATCACCGAGTCATCTTCTTATTTAAGGGACCAATCGTAACTGAGAGAAACCCGGGGCTGGTTATGGCGATGGTGAAAGTAGGGATCAGGCATGGTAGCAGCGCAGGAGGATCAAGAGGCATTGGTTGTAATGTCAACATTAACAAATCGACAAGACACATTAATTCGAATAATTTCAAGAGCCGTTCGGTAGCCTACTACCGGCATGATGCTGCAACTGAGCCAGAATCCTGCTGCAGCTGCGAGACACCGTTACATCGCCGGTTCAGTGCTTCTCGGAAGAAATTAATCATAAGAAATCGAGAATTTTTTTTTTCAAAATCATTGTATTTCATCAGTTTTTGTACCGAGTATCGTGTTTTTATCTAAACTATTATTAAGTTTTTTTTTAATTTTGACGCATGGGCTACTGATGTACTTACATACATGGTTTTTTTTGTACTAACTGAAAATTTCACCGATTTTTCTTCTGATCTCGAGCAAAAATTAAAACAATTTTGGACATAAACATATGTAAATTCTTCTGAAAAATTATATTGTTTGGGTAAATTTTGCAGCCCTAATGGAGTCATGCTCCCTCGCCCGGGAGACGTGTTGTATCAACTTGCTTTCTGAAACGAGTGACAGAGTCCTATTCTATCGTGCTAAGGAAAAACGCCGTATGAGTATTCAAATGTTGCCAAATTTCCTCTCAGAAAATATCCATTTTTGAAGAAAGTTATGAGTATTTTTCATTAAAATTTTTAGAGATTTTAGATCAAATTTCGAAAAAAATTCTCCGAAAAATCGGGGGAAAAATATTCATTAATTTCCCTGAAAATTCGTTGTTTTTCGATGGAAATTTGGCAGTGCCTGATGGTTCAAACGGCGTTCTTCCTTAGCACGGCAGTATATTATACTTAGCAGCGCTGCGGATAGTCAAGTTTTGACTGTCGAAGCCTAGATTTTAAGTAAGCATGGATTCATACGGGGAACCGGTAGTATTTCATAAGAGTTTGACGACTGCGAACTGCGGGGTAACGCAATACAAACTAATGGGCTCTTACTTCACGCGCCGCTCGCATCGGCGCGGAAATGTGACGGACGGCACACAATGGAACGAGTGAATATGAGAAGTCGGACAAAATTTGGAAACTTCAAACGTTTATAACACCGTTTATACAAGACTTCGAGGTTCTAAAAGTTGTTTCATTGGTTTCCTTGTGAAATTTTCTTCTGAAAGCACCCCTTAAAATGTAAAATGTGACGAAATAAACATCAAAAGTCGCAGTTTTAGTCAAAAATTTCATGTCCGACCTCTCTGACTGACTCGATCCACTGTGCGGCGCAGCGCGTGGTGGCCTTGCGCACCGGCGATTCTTTTGGGGCGGACAACGACGTTAAATACAAAAAACCATACGTGACGGCAACGAAATCGACTCGGCAAAGTTGTCTTTGAAAGGAAGCACATTGATTGTTTCATCAAAAGTAATGCAAATTAAGTAACTTTCACGCGCACATAGGAAACCTTGTACTTGCCATACCGTTCGATCGACCGTCCTAGACTCCACGCCACCTTAGTTCGGAAGCTCTTTCATCTTCATATCGTCATCCTCCGGCCAAAGTATCACAAGCGCCATGCGACGTTTAAAACTTTCCATGACCATTTTATTTTTTACAGAGAAATTGTTCAAGAAGCATGTCCGAAAATGTCACTGAATTTTCTTCATGCCCCCGATAAAATTCAGTGAAATTTTCGAACAGATGCAACCAACAATTTCTCTGTAAACAAATAAAATGGCAGCGGGAATTTTAAAATGTCGCATGGCGCTTGTGATACTTTGGCCAGAAGGTGACGATATTTGCGATGAAACTAAGAACGATAGTTATGATGTCGGGCTATAAGGCACCAAAACAGTTGTTAGTGGGTTAAAAAATGGGATTTAAAGTCAAAGAAACGAGATCTGCGTCTTGTAAGACCCTTTGAGAGAAAAAAGTGTATCTTCTAAAAATTATCAATGGTGCCGAAATTACTTAGTTACTTTTCATATTCAAACGTAAAGGACGAAAAACACGTGAGATCGAAAAAAGAACAAAATCACGTTTCACAACATCATATATAAAACATTCTGAGCTTTCATTGTGACTGCATTCATTTACAGAAAAAACTCATAACACATTGTGACAGCAACAAAAAATACAGAAATGATAAAGACTCGAGTGATGTTAAACATGGATTTTCAGTCCACCCTATCCTGAGGGGGAAAAACTATAAAAAAAAGCACAGTTAAATAAGATTATAAGGATTTCAAAATAAAACTCCAATATCGTTCGGATTACTGAAGCACACGATTAGTGTGTCCCAAAGTCCCCATACACATTCGAATTCAATTTGAATTCCTCTTTCAATTTTTGTACTTTTTTGGCTTTGATTTTTCCTCAAAATACGGTGGTACCAACTGATCGACGTTAGAGTAAGTCATAGCGTTTTTCCCGGTAATAAAAGCGGCCCGGGAACACCGGGTGTTCCCAACCGACTTTTTCCAGATTTTAAAATATTAATATTTGAGCGTCCTAAAAGAGCGTCTCCCCCTGTGGGCACGGTTTTAGGATCGTTTCCTTGGTGGCAGATTCTTTTAAATATCGTAGAGGTATTCCATAGTTGCGAATGTATAGTTTATTCAAAAAGAACTGAGCCAAATTAATTCCCCACGGATATATTAGGATGGACTTGCTTGGTTATTATGAGAAAACTTAGAAAAGGGCCAAAATGAAAAGGGCTAATGAAAATGATTCGTTGAGAGAAAAAAACATATACATTTCAGAATTGTGAAGCATGAATCTCTAGCTGCCGAGCCTGACAGGATACTCTTAAATCTTACAATTTTACAATTTTAAAATTTTTATCCTCGGTCATAGCAGTATTATTATTTTTTTTTAAATATATATTAAAGAAAATCTAGAGTCTCGTCTTCAGTCTACACAAGATTTTATCTTTCGACTAACTGAACCCTATTTTAATTCAAAGTAAAACTTTTTTTTATGAATACAACGCTTCTAAACTAAATGAGAATTTTGCAGTCTGTGCATATGAATTACGCTGTACGTAAACAAAAAACCCCGAAACTTGAGATTGCATATTATAAAGTTAGGTCAGAAAGAAATAGAATGACTGAGTGCAAAACATTTTCAATATTTTAGATCATTCTGCCGGTCTTGATGTCTGGGGATGAAGCATCACACTTCTGCAAATTCAGTGATTTTTGTCCCATTAGCTCTCCTCTGAGGGGCCTTTAAAATAATTTTCGCGTAAAAACCAACAAATTTTAGCATCACGTGTACAAGGAGCATTGATTTTTTTCTCTTCTTTGAATAAACTAGGAATCCGCAACTATCGCGCAATTTGACGACATTGATAAATGTGCTAAGAGGAAAACAACGCTGAATATGCGCCAAGCGTGGTAGAGGAGAAGGGGGTGGGGGGCGTCAAGCTACCTTTGTGAGACCTTCCAATAATAATGTATGTTAAATCTGAAAAAAGGTCTTTTATCAAGACGATTGAGAGCACCGGGTTTCACTTCTGATTTTCCAATTTTGAAAAACAGGTTCAAATCAAGCCATCCGGTCGGATATCCCGTAGATGGTAGAGGATCATTCATTTCTTCTTTTTTGTTGGTAAAATTTTCTTGAGAAGGATAATTTTTGATAAAGAAAAACAAAATACAGAAAAAAATAACCCAAAGGCACGTAAACACTAGAATATGTTGGTAAATATATCGATAATAAAAAGAACAAGATGCCAAAGAAAACAAAAAAATTAATTGCATTTTAAATTTTATAAATTTTCCGTTAGCTTTATCAACCATCTATAACATTACATCCCATTCACCCCATTCTCTCTCCCTGTAAAAAAAGGGGTCAGGTTTCACGAGGGAAAATTTCGGCTAAGTACGACTTACCTGAGAAATGTTGAGTGCGAACGTCAGGAAGAGCGCAGTCGGTCTGTCCGATAAGCCGCGGCAGCTGAGGTCCAGTCGGTGGGCCCATGCGCCCCCCTTCCTCCAAGGGGGGCCCAGCGTGCGCCATAATGTGGTGGGAGGAAGGAACACGTCTGGCGCATGGATAGACGATGCTACGGTGCAGCGCGTGCGGAATGGACCGTGCCCAAAACTGTCGTGCTAAGAAAAAACGCCGTATGAACATTCGGGAGTTGCCAAATTTCCCCTCAGAAAATAGTTATTTTTGAAAGAAGTTATGAATATTTTTCCTTGAAAATTTCAGGAACTTTAGGTGAAATTGCGAACAAAATTATCTGAAAAATCGGAGGAAAAATATTTACAAATTTTGCCGAAAATTCGTGATTTACCGAAGGAGATTTGGCAACGCCTGAAGGTTCATATGGCGTTCTTCCTTAGCACGGCAGAGAAGCCCCCCCCCCTGCCCCTGCCGCCAGACCCCTATATCCCTATTGCCCCCATGAAGGGAGGAGGGGGGTAGAAACTCTTGTCAAGGCTGAGAGATGATTCTTGACTATGATCTGTAATCAATCGCACCGTATAATTTAGACTCAGAATCCATTATTACCTCTACGGGATATTGTCTTGGTCTTGCAAACAATCTTGTCAACAACGAAGTGCATTGTCGGGGCCGGATTTACATTTTTCGCGCCCCTAGACTGAACTTTGTTCGGCGCCCCAGTAAGTAGGTACTTGGTACTATCATGGAGGGAGGGATGTCTGAGACACAGCCTCCCCACCCCCTCGCCGAAAGAAAATGTCAGGCGGTAAGGAAAATAATTCAAATTCATCTTTAAGAACCGATTAAAACATTATTTTCAACGATTCTGAGGTGCCCGGTTGCAAAAAGATTGACGCAAAAAAAGCTGGTTTTGGAAAAAGGGATGTGACAAGAGACGTGTAGGTACTTACGTTACAGAATTCTCAAAAAGTTTACGCCCCCCAGAATGTTGCGCCTCTAGTCTATAGCACACGCAGCGTAATGTCTGATCAGGTTAGTCTGTGATTTTTCATTCTATTAAAGTCGTTTTTAATTTGCATATTTTGCAGTGAAAATTGGCTGTCAAACATTTTCCAAACTTTCCGAGATCAATCTGTATGTAATATAGATTTAAGAGGGTCAGCTTTATTTGCATGGGACAAAGGTGGGCAGTTTATTCCGAGGGTGACTTCCTGTTAGGTACAATCATTTTCGCTCGTTATCGATCGCGTAAATGTGGTGATTTGATTATGTTAGTAATAACGAATCGAAATTAAATTAAAAACAGGTCTATGAAATTTTCTGCAGGCAAATCAATTTAATCAGCGACCAACAGTCATACGAAAGATCTACGGTAACTCTCAGACTCATTAAGAGGTAGGTAAGTGGGGTAACTACTCCACAAGACACCTATGTAAAATTATGTTCTTGGCCGCAAAAAAAATGAATCAATTTACTCGAGTATTGGGTAATTTTAAGATAATGTCATAGGGCGCGATGCCCCCCCCCCCAAACAAAAACGAGTTCTAGGGAAGTAGGGTCCACGAGTAGATTCTGCCATTGGACCGAAAAAATCCTCGTCATTAGACACAGTGAGGAAAAGTTTTCAAGCATGCGTTATATGTTTTCCTAAGTACTTTTAGATGATGGAGCTGAAGAGTTTTCCTTGTCGTCATAGGTCGTGAGAAACATTTGTCAAGATTCGAGCGTAAATCATTCGAGTGAGCTTATTATATCTTATTTCAAGGCCTTTCTGACAGGGATAATTCGCACAGTACGCGGGAAGCCTGACTGTGCAACACGTATCTACTGTTGCATCTACGCTCATTGAAGGCGTTTTTTGTTTTCTTCGTGTCATCATTCTATTCAGTATTCACTCATCCTTTTTTCTTTCCTCGGCAGACAATGCCTGCTCCGGTGCTTTCCCTAATCCGTTCCGAGTCAGTGATCTTCTTCTTTCGTGTTTTTGCTTTCTCTACGCTCTAATTGCTCCAGGTTTCGCTGAGACTGTGTTCCTGGTTCGATCATGACTCCGTCTCGATCGTTTCACTTATAGATGGTTTGTCATTCATTTGAAATCTTTCCGGAAAAGTCTCGTCCGGTTATTTGATCAGGTAAATTCAAGTAAAAGAAATCTCCGCGTCTAATGTCAAAGGCGGACAGGCTTCCAGCAGACAATTCTCGGGGTGGACGAGGTATGAGAGAGAGCGGAACATGTTAAATTTTAATCAAGTTTAAAATCGAGTGATAAACTTTATAATTTGTGATGATCGGTTTGAGCACCAGACTATAGCTGGATCATTTCACCTCAACGGGACTAATGCCGAGACAAGTAATCAAATATTCTTACGTAGATTGAAATTTTTGTTCTTTTCCCAATTTTAAACAAGATTTAGTATTGCTCCCCCTGGTAAAAATTGGCGATAAGAGCTGCGTTTCAAAATACCATGGGAATTCTTATAGCCGGCTAAAGAAGGCTACAGAAAATCATATAGCTGGCTGTAGAATGCGGAGAAAATCATACGGCCGGACTATACGAGGCGATAAAAAATTATGCAGCCGCAGCCGGGCTATAGTTCCTATAGCCGGGCTTTACACTTTATCGCCTGGCTGTTGCTTTTTCGCCATCGATTATAAAAGGCTATAAAAAATTGTGTAGAAATTAGTGTGCTTTGGAAATCATTAAGTTTGATACGGAACCACCTTAATATTTACAAAACACACGTTATATTTTCCTTTAATACATATTTTTTTTTTCATCAATTAAAACGAGAATAATCCATACAGGATGTGCAAATATTTCAAAATCATGAGTTGAATAACGCTGACTCCGCCAGATTAAATATTAGAGCCTAACACAAAACGGAGCGGCGACGCACTATCGCCTACAAACCTAACAGGGATACTTCACGCATTGCGCAACGCGTGAAGTATCCCAGTTAGGTTTGTAGGCGCTAATGCGCGTTTCGCGCTAGCTACCCGCCTGCCGCGCCGCAGCGTGCCACGGCGCTTGAAGCAACTATGTATCATACAGTAGTATTTTAAACATTTTGAAGGAACATAAATCTTGACTGTCAAAATTTGACAAAATGCCTGATTTGACCATTCGCCTGCGACATATGTAATATGGATTGCATTTTGCAAAAAGGAACCAAGAGCATTCCAATGTTGCTAAGATCGTCCAACTCACACTCTTTGAAAAGAATTACCTGAGTCATGCAGAAAATGAAATTTACAAAGGTAATTTTGGTCTCAAATTCATAGGTTAATGGGAGTAAAGATGAAGATTGTCTGGCTGATAAGTTTCTATTTGCAAGATAAAAGTTGCACAATTTTAGCGACATTGGAATGCTCTTGGATCCTTTTTGCAAAATACAATCCATATGTCTTCTGGATAAAACTTACAAAAACTTATTTACAAAACTTCAATTTTATTTATCATAAACCATACAGGTTGAAATCGGATATAACAATCTTTTAGGGGTTCTTCATTTGGTCGGCACAGCCAAGTGTCGTTGTAACAACTATTAGAATGTTTACGCAAGTACCCAGTTCCCAGTGCCGTCGAGGCGCCTTCAGGCTGTTACAGTGTTATACTGTTTATTAAGGTTTGAAGTGATACAACTATTTGGCCTCTGAGACCACGCTAATAGGTATATTTTCACAATGAAGGTATTACTTATGTTTCAAAACCTTTCAACAAAATATTATCTGATCCAACTAAATACTCGGATATACTTGCCGCTTCACTGCTGATTGGGTCTTGTTATGATGCAACTATTCGGCCTCCAAGGTCATGCTAAGAAGTATCTTTTCACAATGAAGGCGTTAATTGTGAGTGAGTGCGCTTCATCAAAGGATAGTCTCAAGCAAACGCAACAGCTGATAAGCGCTGCTATTTATTTATCATAGACTATACTGGGGAAATCGGATATAACGACCTTATAGAAGGGTTTTATTTGGTCGGTACAGCCAAATGTCGTTGTAACAACTATTGGAATGTTTACGCAAGTACCCAGTTCCCAGTGCCGTTGAGGCGCCTTTGACGCTGCTATGCTGTTTATTGGGATTTGAAGTGATACAACTATTCGGCCTCCCAGGCCATGCTCAGAAGTATCTTTTCACAATGAAGGCGCTAATTGTGAGTGAGAACGCTTCATTAAAGAATTGTCCCAAGCAAACCCAATACTTGCTAATCTACGCTGCTACATTGTTGATTTGGTTTTGAAATGATGCAACTATTCGGCCTTTAAAGCCACGTGCCGTCTCTGAACTTGCCCCTTGTTAGGAAGAGGCACCAACAAGAGCGTCTTTTTAGAGAAGAGAGACATGAGGCGCCACACCATCAAAAACTTCTTCCTACTTTTTGAAAAATTAATCAACCGATAGGATCACTCCGTACTCTTTACTATGTCTTCCTTGTCTATCGCTCTGTCTATCGATTTCAATAATCAGCCCGCTGTCATTTTAAACATCCCGAAATTACCATCAGCTCGGAATTAATTGAAACTAAGAGAAACGTGCCTTTTATGAGTTTATCCTACTGCTAGCACATTACCATGCAAAGCGGAGGGTGATTGAGAGAGATCTGGATGCCAAAAAGTGAGTAATCATCGGATTGCAGTGGATGTTGAGTATTTCCTCACTGCGGACGGCCATTAAGAGAACCAGCATACGTATGATTAAAGCTCCGATGAAATATACGCTTTCTGGAGGATGATTATGTAACCTCAGAATCGATCAGTAAGAGATGCAGATTTTCCAACAAAACGGGTTGCGAAGCTCCATGCTCGTGACCAAGTCGTCGCTTGGCATGGTAAAAGGGCGTAACTGCAATTAGAGATGAGCCCGGGAAATCATTAAGTTATATGGACAACAGGGTTCATCACGAAGTGTAGTTACGCCTTTATGTCAGGAGGGCGACCAAGTAGTACAGCTTCGAGCTCAAGTCACTCGAACTTCAAACGGCTTAGGAGCTAATGGATTGTATTCGATACATCAAACAGGTGAGATTGTATCGATATCGATTGGTTCGACCTGTAAACATAGCCCCAAAAGTCAATTGAATCAGTGAGAACGAAAACACACCAACTCGGAAAAATGAAAAGAATCAAGACACACACGAAACTGAACAGTAAATGAAGGAATTAGCCTAAGGAAGAGATTTTTGGTGCCGAAATACAAGCACTTAAGGGCATTTTAAAGGTCCAAGTTGGAACAGGTGCGCTAACTTCAATGACTTTTATACAAATTGACCGTTTCTAATGAAAATTGAGCAATTTCGGGTTACCGAGTTGGTGTGTTTTCGAACTCACTAATTCAATTAAGTAATCTGAAAGAACGGGTTTCTTATGAAAGATTTTTTATTCTTATGAGTATATAAAATGGCAATAAAAAAGTGAAATTTTTAGGAGTGTTCTCCTTTTCAGCTTTTCTTACTTAAATCTTAAAATTTTGGTTTGAGGTTATGCTCTATTGTTTTGAACCAAACGATACATCGACCTATTATCGAATACGATCCATAGGTTGAAGGATGCGATACGATGGATGTATGATGTTGGAGACAGTGTGAGTGGGGTTGTTCCTTAAAAAAGTGGAGAAAATTACGCATTTGAAAAAATATATATGTAACCCTTTGACTGAAACACAGCTGGAATTGATCAGAGGACGGGATTCACGTACTTTCGAGGGAATGGTCAACTATTTTTTTTTCAGCTGTTGCTTTTTACAATTTAAAATATAATTTATGGATTTATAGAATTCCACCGATAAACCAATAAAAACAATTTTCTGGCTTCCTCCGTTATTTCCTGAAAAATTGGGGATGTAAGGTGGGGTTACGCCAGTCTCGCGAAGTTCAAAAGGGTAAATAAACAGATAATTAATCAGTGTCCGGGTTTTTAACTATTTTTTAGGAGGGATTCTTAGGAATTTCTTAACTATCTCTAATTCATGGAACTTGTAAACTTTCTGAGAAAAATTCTTGCTAAGGCGCAGGGATACAATTATTTGAACTCTCCGGAACGCGTGAGGTATCACGCCTCAATTGAAGGCGTTTTCGAATCTTCTGTATTTTCATGACGAGATTTTCCAAATTGTTTTGCATTATATTGTAGATTTGAGTTCCTTTTATTATTTACTTAAATTACTCCTGCTCCTTAATTTTTAATTATTCTGCTAACACTATCCATTTGCAAAATACAGCCCTGGGTTTAGCGCCCTTAAACTACGTTAGTTTTTTGCATTTTATTGTAGATTTGAGTTCCTTTTGTTATTCAGTTCAATTATTCCTGCTTCTTAATTTTTAACTATTATGCAAAAATTATTTTTTTGCGAAATACAATCCTGGCTTTAGCGCCCTTAAACTACGGCCTTAACGGTTGAAACTGCAGTAGCGGCACAGGAAAACCGGAAAACATCGCGAGGATGCTACTTCAATATTAAACCTCCATCGCCTTGCTATGGCGCAGGGATACAACTATTTGAACTCTCCGGAACGCGTGAGGTATCACGCCTCAATTGAAGGCGTTTCCGAATCTTCTGTATTTTCATGACGAGATTTCCCAAATTTTTTTTGCATTACACTGTAGATTTGAGCTCCGTTTATTATTTAGTTAAATTACTCCTGCTTCTTAATGTTTAATTATTCTGCAAAAATTATCTGTTTGCGAAATACAATCCTGGCTTTAGCGCCCTTAAACTACGGCCTTAACGGTCAAAACTGCAGTAGCGGCACACAGGGGCGGACTAGTAGTCGAAAAGTTAGGACGAGACCTAATTGTAAGGGCCCCTCCTGTCGTTCGGGGGCCCCTCTAAGAAGGTGCGGGGGCCCTCCCCCGGATAATTTTGGAAATTTCACACCTTTTAAACACGTAGGCATTATTTGAGTTGGATTCTACAGTACCTGAATTTCAAAATAACCCATTCTCAGGATTCATCGGGGGTCCCTTCATCACAAATGCTTTTGGCCACCTTCCATGCCTCTTAGAGACAAATTTTCAAGGAATTTCAAGGAAATTTTCAAGGAAAAAACACATTGGATCTAGAGTCCAGGTTCTTGAAAACATTGACAAGAAAAATTACTCTTGATTCAATCGGATTTTTGCTTGAATCAAAACGAAATCCGCTTAAATTAAGAAGCTTGGTTCTTGATTCAAGCTTAAATCCGATTGAATCAAGAGTATTTTTTCTTGTCGATGTTTTTAAGAGTCTGGACTCTAGGTCCAATGTGTTTTTTCCCCCAGTGCGAGTCATATAGCCAAACGAGTGAATGGTATTGCACAAAACTGAAAAAGCCGTCTAAACACACTATATTTTTTAAAATCTTCGGGGGTCCTCTCTCGGATCCCTCAGTTATGACGTTAATCACAGACGCCCCCCCCCCCCCNACCCTTTGAGGCGCTTAAAGTAATCTCGCACCAAGTACAAAAATTCATGAATCCACCATTGCACTTTCTTCTAGGAATCCCCAGCGGAGGAAACGCTTCGAAAGATTTCCTCCATGCCGCCATCCTTATGACTCAACCTGCTGAGTAGTTAACCCCGTGCCCCGCTGTATGACTAACGAGAATAAAATCCGCCGAGGCCAGATTTGGGCGGGAATATTCATTTCTCGAACCCACCATGAAAATCCTTCGCACACCCACACGAATTACCGCATCGTCATCCTCGCTAACTTTAGCCGCAATGGTCCGTATGGAAACTGCGTTATCACCGCGACATGATCAGAGGTTGCGCATTTTGGGTGTTGAATTCGTGAACCTTGGCAGCGCGGTGAACTTGATAACGGTAACCGCGCGCGCGACAACCAAATACGGGTGTAAAGGGGCAGAACAGAGAGAGAAACAAAACAACGGAAAACCAGCTGAGGCAGCTGTCTCGCCTCTGTTGACCCTCCGCTCTTTCGAAATTCCCCGAGTCTTCGCTTAAGTACTTAAATGAATCGCTAAATAAATCAAATAATGAAAAAATGTCAGTAAATGAAACAAATGCCCTGATAATCGTGCCGAGTCGAATACGTATGATGAGGTTTTGAGACGTATAATCATAGCGAAAATTCAATAAAAATCCTTGTGTAAATGCAAAGTACGCACGAAATATCGGAGTTGTGACGCCATATTTGACAACAAAGAAGCCTCCCCTCCGACCGGTGCCAAGGCGCTCGACCAATAGGAGCGCTGCGTACCCTAGTCCTCCGCGCTTCATCTTCAGTCATGAACCGCGCGTCGAAGTTGCGGTAGGATAGTTGCTCCGCCGGCAAGAGCTGTCTCTTGATTTCGTATTCTGATCTTAGCAATTTTTTGCAAAGCATCGGTCGCTTTCGTGTTTCTTTCCCTACACTGTATACAGTAATTTAAGTGTTTTTGCCCAGTTTCGCAGATTGTGGGGGAATTGAAAAATGTCGGTTGCGATTCGGGCCAGGCGGTTTTGTTTACGTTCAGTTTGTTTACTGTTTACTTGTCAAGTTTAAGTGACCGGCTCCTCAGCTGCAGCAGGGGCGCAGGACTTACTTGGTATGTATCACGTTTGTGTTATACTCCACTGGAAGGGCGGTCTGGCTAGGGGTGCTAGGGTGCTTTAGCATCCCAGAAATTCTGACGGGTGGCTCAGGGGGCCCCGGCATGACTCCTGTTGGGGCCCCCCAAAACTTTACTTACTCAAGTAAAAGAGGGTTGTAGTTTAGTTGGGGAAGCTCCCAAAAAGTATCAGCACCCCAAGAATTTTCGAGCTAGACCAACACTGTTGAAGAGCCGAAAATGCTACTCGGATCATTAAATTATACTACTCATGCCCTGCAACGCCCCCACCCCCTCCCCCCGGTATAGCGTTAAGAATGTTGCCTTGACAATAATTTTTTGAAAGTATGTAGTACTAAAACGACCGCAGGGAGGCGATTCGTAGGTAGTTGAGCCAAGAGCCAGGTATAAGCCTCATTAAGTGTGACTACTTAACACCTTTTAAATTGCGGCATTGGGTGAGTAATCACAGATTATTCTACAAAATTCCTAGATGGGGAGAGTTTTGCCGTTTCTCAGCCGCTCTCTGATTGGCTCATCAGCTTCAGGGCTCTCGTAGGGTCCCTAGGATCCAATGTAAACAAATCCGACATGGTGGAAATTGTATTTTTCAGGGTGAATTAAAAACTTCTAGGTACCACAAAAATGTAATTCCCAACATTGGTATTCATCAAAGCTTGTTTTTGACTCATTTCAAAGTTTGCAAAAAGAGATGTCCTTATTATCTCCAGAGCCCCGTCACCATTTTGTTTGTTTAAATTGGGCCCTATTGGCTGAGACCTAATATTTGCAGACCAATCAAAGAGCGGCAGAATGAATCACCGCTGAACGGATTAAGATGGCAGTACAAACTCTCCGTACGAAGGCACGGTATTCTCATTCGCTTTTATTTCGAGGGCCGAGCGTTAATCGTCAACTTATCTTATCTCAGCCTGTTATTCAAATCGAATCTCCGATACATGCAGTGCTTTCTGAGATGTCTCTCATTACTCGAGTTCATCGGCTGAGGTAAGTGTCGGTCTTATCGGAAGAACACAATCTGACAGTCCCTTATCAGTGCCGGGTTGACACACTGCTGTTAGTGGACTAAAATACGTACTTACTTGCTCACACAGTCACAGTTCATTTAAACTTGGTCACCAGTTTCCGATTGCTCATTGTAACTTCTTTTATATTCGTACCACCCTCCCCCCCCCCCCCCCTATCCCCAATCATATTGCAATTTTTTTTTTTTTACCTCTGAATTGATGCACGCGCAGTTGCTAACCAATCCTCAAAAGGGACTTCGGTAATGTAATTATGTATTTTCACTTCATCATTTTTGAAAAAAATTGATTTAAAATTGCATGAAAACATCCACAGTAGCGCCGGATTTAAAGTTGTGGGTGCCTCAGGGCGAACCTGTAGCGGGGACCGGGACAGTGGCGTGGCGTGAATTGCGATATATCGATTGTTATGCCATTTAAACCTATGGAAAAGGATCGATAAACAGGGTGTTCGCAGCGAACACCTTAGTAATCGATTCTTCGCCATAGTTTCAAATGTGGAAATATCGATCATTTACGCCACGCCACTGACCGGGACCCCCAAGAATCCACCTCAGATCATGATTTGAAGACTTCATTTTACTCTTAGGACAGGTACAAGGAAACCTGTAAATTTTTGTTTATGGAAAACTCATTCTAGAACCGTCACGAGGGTGAACGATGGAGCGATAGTAAAGACGGTACCAGGCGACGAATTGTCGAAGCTGCCGAAATGAGAATGAAAGGAGAGTGGAAGAAAGGTAGAGAAAAAGAAATGCGAGAAAAAGGAAGAGATAGAAAAAGGCACGAAGAATAGGAGGTAGGAGGAATGAAAGAGGGAGAAAACGAGCATGCACTGGAAAAAAAATACATTGGATCTAGAGTCCAGACTCTTGAAAACATTGACAAGAAAAAGGACTCTTGATTCAATCAGATTTAAGCTTAAATCAAAAGGAAATCCGCTTAAATTAAGAGGCTTGGTTCTTGATTTAAGCTTAAATCTGATTGAATCAAGAGTATTTTTTCTTGTCGATGTTTTTAAGAGTCTGGACTCTAGATCCAATGTGTTTTTTTTTCCAGTGAGGGGAAAAAGAGAAAAAAGAGGTGAGAAAGGGGCAGGGAAAATGGGGGATGAAAAGGCATCAATATGGGGGCAACAGACGTTTTTTAAATAGAAAATCACCCTTTGAGACTTAATTTTTAACAAGACGGCGCGACGCCTTTTGCTTTCGCCCCTTATTCGGCTCCAGAGCTTGCTTTGCGCATTGGTTTGTTCACGGCGCTTCGAGCAACTATTTCGACTCAGAGGCGTTGCACAGTATCAAATGAAATTGAAGGCGCAACAAAATATGTCAAGCGACTCACGTGTTATGGCGCTGTTTGAAACTGATTGAGGTGCGTGCGAAGTGTAAAGAGTCTTTCAATGAATGAATAAATGAAATCGCGTGGGGTGCGCCCCCTAACTGTTCCACGGCCCAACCTCTAGAACGCGCTTCGCGCTTCCAGTTGGTGGCGCTTCGGCTTCGTGCCGTGGTGTCACATTCCTTTTCATGAGATGGATGTGTAATGTGTAAGAAGCCTATAATGAATAAATAAATGGAAACATCAGGGGTGTGTGTCCCCTAACCGTTCCGCAGTCCAACCCTCAGGATGCGTTGACACAAAAATTATCTCCCGGTACAGGTTCATATCGTCCAATTTGACTGCAGTGGCGCCATTTCACCAAAACCTTGGGGGCATGCGACCTTTTGTTTGATTCCTTTTTCTTATTTTCCTCATCTTTTTCCCCCTTGCATATTAGCGCCCTTTATACCATGGCGTCTCCGACAACCGTTCTTCATGCACGAGCACGACCCTTAATCCCGTCTTCAGGACCCGGACCCCAGTTCCTTTATAGATAAATCCGGTCCTGCCCCTCCTACATGATGCAAATTAATCGTTGCAAAAATGCACTTATTCATGCTAAAAGGAACTACGTAACACGTAATCCCTATGCACGTAGTTCCTTTTAGCATAAATACGTCCAAATGCATCCCTGATCGCAAGACTGCGTTACCGTAGAGGCTCATTTTAACGAAAACAAACAAGGCAAAAATTACTTTTTTTTAATATTTATTGCTCTCTTTTAGAGTTATTTACAAACAAAAAGTAATGCAGCTTTTCCTGCGGCGAGCTGCAGCTTCCAGACACGAAGTGAATCGTGCGGAAAAAGCGCCCAACCGGGACCGACGATTTTAAACCCACCTGCGGGCCGATTATTGAAATTGATAGACAAAGCTATAGACAAAGAAATCAAAGATAAAATGGAGCGATCCTACATGTGGAAACGGGCGGTTGAAATGGACAAGGAGATTAGTATTGTAGTTGACCGACTATTGCCAACTCACGAGGGACCCTATAGTTACCCCATCATTTTCCCCCTAGTCCATAAGAATCACCCGTTTCAACCAAATAGATCACTCCATTTTCTCTTGTCTATCGCTTTATCCATCAATTTCAATAATCACTCCGCTATTGCAACTGACAAAACGATTTGCGTTGCGCACGTCTTATGATGCCGAGTGCCAGGCGAGACACCACAGTCCCACATAAGGGCGCTCCAGGCGTGAAGTTGGCGCTGTGGCTGGCGCGAATTTGTCGTATATGGGGTTGTTTAAGTACTAAGCCATTTAAGGGGGAGGGGGAGAAGTTCCTGAATTTGCCTCACGAGGTCTCACGAGAGTAAAGAGGGGAGGGAGGTCAAGCCCAATTTTACATAAGCCTTTTACTTTGAAAAAAAAAATATATATATATATATATATATATAATATGTTCTAATGAAAATAAACTTTCCAGCTATTTCAGGCCTCCTCCGTTATTTTTCGAAAAATCAGGGATCGGGGGTCCAGCCAGTCTGCACTGAAAAAAAAGTTACAGACCGTATAGACACACCATACGTTTCGGGCTGAGAGGCCGAAAGTTCTGGGTGCTGGAGCCGTAGCTTCGATTGCTTCGGGTGCTATGCCCGGAACTTTCGGCCTCTAAGCCCGGAACGCGGACGGTATGTTTATATAGCACGTAAGTACGGCTTCCACGGCCGGGATTTTTTTTTTTCAATGTGTCATAATAATTCTACAAGGGTTCTTTTACACGGGTGCCTTACAAGGGNGGGGGGGGGGGGGAGGTGGTCAAGAAATCGGTGAAAATGCCTGATTGTAATCAAATGAACGGCCCTTCATAATCGCTTGGGAATAGGGCACACGAACCAGTCACCTAAAATCGTCGATAAGACGCGCGCGACGCGAATCCTCTTGTCAGTGGCAAGACAACAGGTGGCTTTAAAATCATCTCGTGGAACCGTAGTTCAAGACAACTCGCCACCTCGTGTCGCCTGTCGCGTCATCTCTATCACCGCCGCGCCCGCCCGCCGCCGCGCGCCGTCGCGGACATCGCCATGAAGTGCCGCGATGCGACGAAAGCACGAAACCACCAAGAAAATAATCAGTTAATCAGTTTCCCCCAGCCTCTCCTCCGCCCCCTCCCACACCTCATGCTTTATGTCTCATTTTACCACCTCCCCTTCCCCTGCCCACTCCCCCGTCGCACCGATCAGCTTTCACCGCGAGCAGCAAAGCCGCGCATAATTCGTCAACTTTCTCAAGAAAAACGAAAGACAACACTCACAATCAGCTCTGCTCGGCTACGGCTGGCGTCAAATCAGCGAGTCACCCTCAGCCGACAGAAATTGCAATGCTATCTTAAGGAAGGGGAGGAGGTCCGATATCGTAACACAGCCAGGGGCAACGCCCCCTGGCTGCTACCCGCGGGCCCAACCCCTGGAGGATCCGCTTTGCGAGTCTTCGCTCGCCGATCAGAAAAAAAATGGATGCATATATACGTACAGTAATATCGGCACCTTCCGGCCAAAGTATCACAAGCGCCATGCGACGTTTAAAAATTACCGCCGCCATTTTATTTTTTTACCGAGAAATTGTTGGTTGGATCTGTTTGAAAATTTTGTTGAATTTTATTGCCGACAGCACGACAAAAATTCAGTGAAATTTTTGGACAGCTTCGTTTAAAAATTTCTGTGTAAGAACATGAAATGGCGGCGGAAATTTTTGAATGTCGCATGGCGCTTGTAATACTTTGGCCGAAGGTGACGATGTGTTGGGCGAGGAAGACTCTAAACAGATACCATAGGCAATCATGCCCCAAGGCCTCAGATCGGTACTCTTTTAATGACTTGAGTCTGGTTTTAGAAAAGATCGCAAAAGTTTATACAGGGTGATTCAAAAGTCCTGCACTATCCACTTCTGTAACACTTGAGATACAGACTTGAAATTTGAGGAGTGCACATAACTGCAAGGAAAATGCTTTGGGACTCCTAAAAATTTGAGAGACCATCTTGAGGGGAGGTTATGGACCGCAGATGGACCCTGATTTTTTTTTCAAATGTCAACCCTGCCCTCTTTTGTGCCATAACATTTAAAAGAGCATAAACAAAGGGGAATTTTCGTCCAAATCGCAATTTCCTGTCGCTATTTCACAATGGTGGCCAATCAAAGTCTCGTCAATTTCAATAAAATCGGGCTACCATTTTGGACCGCTTAGTTTTTAGCAACCTCTGTTTTTCGCTAAAAATTTCTCGCTAAAAGTCACTTACATTCTTGATTTCCGAGTATAACATCAACGGATGAAATTGTGCCTTAGAAAATAGAGAAAGATCGATTAAAAGTTGTTTTTAAACTGAAGAAATTTAAAAATTACCATTCCTAAATGGGCACTTTTTTTACATTTAATTTTATAAACAACACTCAGGTATAATAAGACGAGGCAGTGCTCCCCATGCTAATATCTCGGTTAACATGAGCACCGCATTCAATGCTGTTGCTGATAACAATTAACGCCTGCCGTAATACAACTATTCGTACTCTATGGTCGCGCGTGTTGCATTGGAGAAAATAGAAGGCGCTCGCTCTGGCCAATGCTGTCATGCAGCAAAGCGCATAGCAGTGTGCGGCGCGTCGCCGTCACGAGTATGTAGCAAAGTGAAATTCTCTGATAAAAAACGTAAGTAGGACTTTTGTTTCCATGGGACGTTTTACGGGATTTGTCCCAAGGAAAATCTCACATGCGAACCAGGACCGGAATTACTTGCTTGCCGCCCTTGGGCCGCCTGTATTTTGCCGCCCCCTTCTCAATCGTTTTGAAACATCAATAAAAACCATCATGTGAACGTACCGGAGGGGGAGGGGTGCATAAGACGCGTTTACTCGTGTTGGACACATTTTATTGCGAGAGCCCTGTCAACATTACTAGTAAAAATTCACGTAACTTGGCGCGAAAGTTAAGTTCCGTAAACCTATCTCTGTGATTTACATTTACATGAAATGAACGAAAATATTATAAAAGAACAAACATAAATGTGCTTTTATAATTTTAACTTCCGCCGCCGCGCCGCGCTGACCGTATTATGTTTGGCGCAATGACTGAAGTATTCCTACAGTCTTGTATGCGCTATGCGTTTCACGCCGACCGCTGCTGCACGCACTAAGTTTGACGTAATGTGTGAAGTATTCATGCAGTCTTGTAGGCGCTATGCGTTTCACGCCGCCCGCTTCTGACCGCAGCGACCGCGCTGTCTTTTTGACGCAATGCGTGAAGTATTCATGCAGTCTTGTAGGCGCTAATATGTGTTACATGCCGACCGCGCGCCGTGCCGCGGGTTTCTCCTGTTCCTCTCAAGTTCTCCTCATCATTGCTCTCTGCGCCGCGCCGTTCCAGGCCAAATTCTGTGTTCGGTTTCTCCCTTCGTCTTAACTCGACCTAATTAAAGGTGCTGTCTACTGTATCACAGGAAGACGACAAAATTAGAGATTTACTCACTGGAAATGAGAGATTTTGCTACGTTTTCATGTTGATAATTTTTTCTCTGAATCCGATTTTTCTTTATAGGTACATTTAAAAAAAATTTCTAAATTTGCCACCATGGGCCGCGGCCCATGTGGCCACCCCCTAAATCCGGCCCTACTGCGAACTTGGGAAAAATACTCAGAGTCAATCAATATTAATCGCAGCACTAAGTAGGGTCCTTCCAGAGATATAACTGATAGCTGGAGGAAGTGAAAGCAAAGTGTGTGACATTTTGTTATTTTCTCGATCGTTCGTGTTTGTTCAATTGCTAATTGTATTCAATCATTACGTTATTAATGGTTAAATACTTGGTTTTTACGAATTTATTTTCCCCCGCAAGCTTGTCGCAGGAACGAAAGAGCCCCGTCTTGTGGAGACGATAACTGCGAAATATCCCCGAAGTTTCATTCTGGGATTCGACGTGGGACAGATTCAATGAAAATTCCCCGTGGAGACAACGCCTAAGACAATGAGCACCATTAAAAATTGTTTTTCGCACCATTTTTACATAGGATATTAAATTTAATCCTACAGCCACACCTAGTCTGGATAGCGCATCACTGCGTGCATAGGCGAATGACCGGGCGCCTTCAATTTTTAGCACGCAACACGGATGTCCATGGAGCACGAATAGTTGCTTCAAGGCGCCTTATACCGTTATCATAGTCCAATACTCGGATATGAATATAAAATGTTAAGAAAAACTCTGTATGAGTAAGAGCACGCGAGCGTTGCCAAATTTCGTAAAGATTAACCCTTAACTTTTGATTGTTTCAGGTTCTTGATTCACTTCACAACTTTAGACTTGCATTCAAAGCATTCTGGCGGCTCGACGAACCGACTCGATTGGACCGAGAACACCGAACACAACCGTAGTTTCAGTCACCTTGACTCCGTCTCAAGGATCACAGGACTCGAAACTTGATGCAGATCTCGGCAAGCCTCTGGACATCGCTGCGCCAGTGAGATTCAGCGCCTTTTCTTCAAACTATTCGCAACACGCAGGAGTTGTCCTCCTCCACACCTATCTTTTCAACTCCGATAACCTCGTGCTTCCCAAAACAAATGAGTCGGTAGGGTTGACAGTCCCATTAGATTTTTTTTAAGTGCGGTTGAACGCTGAACAAAATCGTTACCTACTTACTCTAAGTGCGTTTTTTTTATCCTTTTTTTTCAACATTTTGTAGAAGTGTTTTCCGATCTCGGCAGTGGTGTTTCTCGGCGAGCGACGAATCGCTAGCAAGTGCGTATCGTACCACGAATGAATTTTGTAATTTATAGTTGGACAATGTGCTGTATTAGGATTTCACTGCCTTTGAGGGAGCGATCTGTTTCGTGTGCGTGGGGTATTCGAGGCTAATGCCGAGTCCCTGCGAGAGGGATTTCAGGCATGAAGTTCAAGTCCCTGTTTCGGCGGGGGCACGGGTCGAGTTCCGCGCGAAATGGCCCGTGCGCGGTGGCTAAAAGTCGGCCCCGGGACCCGGGTCAGGGAGGGCCGGGGGGCGGGGGGGAAGGGGCCGCGGCTCCAAGCGGCGGCTGCGGAGGCCATCTTGGGCCCACCGTTCCCGTTAGCGCGTCGCTGCAACCCGCTTCTCAGTGTAAACAGTGGGCCCCCTTGCCCGAGTGTCCCCCTTCGAGTTCAAGTGATGCGTCGACATCGGCTACGGCCAGCATGGAGTTAGACGCTCTTCGCACCGAATTGACCAACATGATCCGCGAGAAAAGCGATCTCGAGGACAAAGTTCAGGAGCTGATAAGATGTCACGGGGAACTCAACGCTCTCCGGGAGGAAGTCTCCAAATTGAAGGTTAGTTTCAGCCCTGGCCTTTTTTATCAATCACACCCTGTCGACCCCACACTGAGTCTCCTCAAAACGTTTTTCAATTCGCAAAAGAGTTGAATATCTGTTTCTTATCACTTCGAAGCACTCTTGTATATCCTGGGTGTTGTCAACACACTCTCAGCTGTGTGGGATAGAGTCCTTATCATACGCCACACTCATTGTTTTTCTTCGCTTTTTGATGGTAACCCTGTGCGGAGAGCATCCCCAGTTGATTTTTCATTGTCAGAGAATATTCAACTTTGATGAAGAATCCTTGTATCACATTATTTTAGAGTGAATACTGAAATCAGTTCATCATCTGTGTGTGGGATAGCCCCTGTTCCCTGAACTAGGGGAGGGTTGAACCAAGTTGAGATGACATAAGATAGGGCTTCACTATGTAAAGCCAAAATATGCCAGCTTCTCATCATTTCTCTTGTTGTTTGTTGTCAACTTTATCTTGTACTTTTGAGTGTATCTCACCATCTCATGCTCTAAATACTCTCTTGTTTGTAAGTAGGTAACTCAGAATTGTTCTGAATAATGGCATTACACGCCTTGTTATGTCGTTTTCCTGGAGAACAATTCATCTGATACCTTGAACCCTAGACCACCATTACTTATATGCGGACCTCCCTGACTAATCAAACTTTCATTGGTAAAAATAACAAATCACGTATCTTGGTTATGTTGTTGCAATTCTCCTGTCACATCCTACTTTTGCATAATAGACCCGATGTTTTTAACCAATTCATTAGATTTTTCAGCGTTTCTTCAACAATACTTTCTGAAAATTTTTCACTAATATGTCGAGGAGAATACCTTTATCAGATAAAATAGGTATAAACAAAATTTTCAAACACCATAATCAAGATCTGAGGATTGCTAGTTCTAGGTACATCATTATTGCAGTAAGGGCAGGTTTGAGAAAATGGCATTCAAAGGTTTCATTTATGCGACATGTTTTGTGAGGCAACCCAAAAACTTTCCCCCCTTATCAAATAAGTATGTTCCAGCCCGCTGACGATGTGAGGTCACGTATACACGTAATGTCCACCTTAATTTCAGGAAGCTATCTTGCCATGTCGAGCTATTTGTTGCTCACTGAAATGGCAAGACAGCTCCTTTAAATTAAGTAAGTTGGACCTAAGTTAGTTCTCACTATCTGTTTTGTAATATGAAATGAATTTTTCTTCTCCAGGAACAACGTCATGAAGCAGAGCAGGGCCTTTTGGCACGCCTCAATGATGTGAATCTATCACCCCTGTCTGACAGTGAAAAAGAAGAATTACTATTATGCACACCAAATAATCGACATGCCAACTCTGCTCCAGCATCTATTGCACCAGCAAACGGCGAGAGCACAGTAGGTCACCTTAATATTGTATTACCTACTTTAGATAAAAAAAAAATTTACGTTTAGCAAAGGTTATTTCAAAGGAATATTATTTTATTATCTGATCATTTTCGTCCCGCATGCAAGAGCTCTAATACTACTAAAAAATGAAGCTCATAGGCAGGTGGAAACACCAAGAAAAATCCTGGTGGGCTGTTTGATCTTCAGGGTAATTTTGGACCAGTTTGTCTCCTTCAGGTGGCATAAAAGCAAATAAAGTAGGCCAGTCTAAGGGCCAATATTCCTGGTTACTTTTTCAGTCCCGGTTTACCACTGATGAAGCTATGTAGAGCGGAAGCATCGTATGTTGAGATAAATGTCAAACTCTAATTACCTCAAAATCAGCACCACTCAACAGGTTAATACATGCAGTCAGATGGCACCACCGTTGAGTGGTGACCTAAACAATACTTGACTTTTGTCTCAACGTACGATGCTTCCGCTCTAATAATGCGTTGATCAGGAAAATATGGTCAGCATCCAATCATCTCAATAAAATTGACTGATAGCCACTAAGATATTCACATTTTACGTAAACGATAGAGTAAAATTAGTCCTCTATTCCGAAGTTGGTAGCTAAAATTCAATTGACATTATTTATTTTATAAATTTATCCAGCATCATGATTTGTGCTTTTTTGTCTGATGATCTGCAGGAGGATCCATTTTAATAGCGATTGAGAGTCGCTGAGCATTCTAACGTGCTTGAGGTAGCACCTTGACTTATCTATTTATATGATATGTGCTTCATGTTTGATGTAGGTATAAAGTATCATTATTTGACAGTTCATATATACATTTTATTCCGCAGGAGATGCTGGACCCTGGAGATTGGGACAAACATTCAAGCAGCAGTGTCAGTGAAGTCTCAGTGGCATGTCTTCAAGACAGGATCATCCAAATGGAAGAAACCCATTATAGGTAGAGCTTTTAAGATTTTAGCAACTTGTCCTTGTCAGTGTTATCCTTAAAATATATTCTTACTCTCAAAGGATTATAATCTAAGAATTTAATCAAAATAATAATTTGGACTTTATAGTAATGGTGCATCATACCAACACATCGTGGCAGAGTTCACTGCTGTTGAGTTACAGTCATTGGTTATCTTGGTTTCATTTCACTATGTTTCTTGTACACCGAGTGTTTTTCTTTGTGTTGTCCAACTCCCCTTGCTTCATAGATGTTTTGTATTTTTCAGTACAAATGAAGAACTTCAAGCAACCTTGCAAGAGTTAGCCGATCTCCAAGTTCAGCTGACAGAGCTTCAAAGTGACAATGAAAGACTGGGCGAGGAGAAGGGTGTGTTATTGGAGTCTCTTTGCCGACAAACAGAGCGGCTGGAAGATGCACGATCTAAAGTGGATACCCTCCAAGGACTCCTCCTGGACAATGCACCTCCCACCTCTGACAGAGAGCAAAAGCTTGTACAGTTACTCAAGGTAATATTCGCCTCTTTAATTAGATTAGTAACAGGTCGGTTAGAGTCTGCTCTGAAGAAATCAAAGCTCATTTTCGGAAGAACACGAAGACATGAATTAAACTTTCCATAAAATGCTATTTCATCGCTAGTCTCTCTTTTTATCAAAATTTGTGATGCCTTGAAAATTTAATAAACATAGCTGTTTTTAGCATGACCCATATTGATGGCGAAACTCCCAAACCACGTATCTAGGTTTGTAATGTTGTGGAATCCCTGTCAAAATGTATTTTTTTAAAAGGAAAAATACGCAACTTTAATTCCTTAAAATTAATGTGATTTTTCTTCTCTGTGCAAAGAAGATTTTGTGAAAACTTTAAGGACCGATGTTGATTTGTTCTATTTTAAAAATGAAATCTGAGCAGAAATTTTGAAACATCGCATACAAGATGTGTCATTGGAAGTTTCATGAGCCCTTGCTCTTGTTTCACTGATGGAACCTGTGTTGCCAGCTTTTGTTCTGACAATTGTTGGTGAAATGTATTATGTCAATCAGAATATCTAAAATCTATGCTATAGGTTCATGTGGTTGGTCCTCTTGCCAAAGCTTGTAAGTCGAGCTGGATCGGTGGGCACATTCATCATATGGCCAAAAAACCAGTTCCAACTGGCTCTTCAGCCTCTGCCTCAGAAGGCAGTTTCTAATGCATATCTTCAGGAAATTTCCTAATTTTCTGGGAAGAGAAACCCTCCAATTTTATGACACTCTTTACTTAAGGCCCTAGAAGATTTTTTCTTCTCCCCCTAAGACCCTGAAAAGTCTTTGATTTTACCAATGAAAGCTCCTTGAAAAGGTGCCTTCTTGATTTTGGCTCTGTAAAGTAGTCTTAAATTCTGTTTTCAAATAAAGTATCAATCAAAATATTATTTTGTGAAAAGAATGATAATCAATGATGCAAAATAATCTCCCTAAGATGCCTGGATGTGCATTTAATGAGTACTTCTCACATCATCATCAAGACCTGGATTTAATATTCACCGATCAATTGTTGGCTATATAAGTATGATTATTGTTGAAACTATCATAAATTAAAGAATATGAGAGGAGTCTATTCTATTCTAGTTTTGCCAATAATAAGAAAAATGCTCATGAAATTGTCATCCATTTACTTTACAAGTACATAATTCTACACCATTGCTTATCATTCTTTTCACACAGCAACAATTAAAGTACTGTTTCTGCATACATCAAACAAAATTATTTCATAACCACAAACCTATGCGTGATGGCTACTCGGTCTTTTGGTATAACCTAACCAATAATAAATCACATTTGTTCTCCAGCAGTCTCAATTTTTTTTTTTTAAATTGTGTTTTCTTAGAGTGCCCAAGAAGAGAAAGAAATGCTTCTGGTGAAGCAAGGAGAGCTATCCAACGAGGTAAAAGAATTACGAAGGAACGCTGAGCTAGTAGAAAAAGAATCTGGGCGCCTGGAGGAACGGGTGCGACTCCTCGAGTCAACAGTAGATGCAACTCATGCTGAACGCAAGCAGCTTGACCAAGAGCTCGCTCTAGCCAAAGAAGAAAGTTCTTCAAGACATATTGAGATCAGCAGACTGACAACACTACTTGACAATGCCCGTGCCAAGGTGAGATGAGCTCCTTACTAAGTAGAATCCGAAGTAAAAACCACAGTTTCTCTTACTATTTTGTCAAAATTCATCATTTCTCTGAATTTCTTCTGAGATGATTGCATTTATTTTTTGAGTTTAGAGAATTCAATTTCAGTTGCAGTCAATATTATTTTTGCATGATTTTTTGTGTTTTATTTGCCAGTCATTTCTTCAACATCTCTCTCCAGTGTTAGAAACTCACAGGCGCCAACGCGCCAAATGCTCCTAAGAAATCGGTCATGGCGCCTAGAAATTGAAGGCCCTGCGCCAACGTGGCCCCAAAAATTGCATCCTCCCCCCCAAAAAACCCTACTTTTTCTGTTTGGTTATTTTTAAAATTTCAACCTACAGCACAGGACTCTAACGCTGCACTTAATGCGTCGTAATGTATGGGCGAAAAGTCCATTTGACCCCGAAAAAATCTTCAATGGCCCCTAAAAATCGAGCTTGATGGGCCACATGGCTCCTGAAACTCAAAGGTGAGTTTTGAACACGGCTTGAGAGTATGCAAAAAAAAAAAAATCAGTAACCTATACCTTGTATGTGTTCATAGATCGAAGAATTGGAGGCAGTTCGTGATAAGTTAGGTGATAAATCTGAACTAGATGAGCTTCTAGATAACGCTCGGAAGGAAAAAGACATACTAGAAAGTCAAACAGCTTCCCTTCAGGAGCAGCTCTCAAGGAGTCAGTGCGAAGTCAATCGTCTGAAAGAACAGCTTAATCACTTGCAAGAAGAGTGGAAGGTAATTTCATCAGCTAGTTTTCAATTATTCTCTTAATCATATGTAGTTACAAGAATGGGACGGCTTATTTGAAGGAGGACAAAACCGCCAAAAGTCAAGTGTCTAGAAAACGTGAAAGAACAAATTTCTTCGACCATTCCTCTTTTTTCTGTTCGAAAAAATCACCCAATGTACCACTTACTCTTTATAATAAGACTACAGTCACATTCGGAGGGTCCAAGAAATTTTATAATAAAATTTACACCTTCCTCCACAAAACCGCCCAACACTGCAATTTTAGCAGTATTCAGACAGTCACGTAGAACGAGCATTCAATAACAACATAAAAAATCATAGTTTGTGTTCTTACTCATGGTTTTTACAACTGATTATGGAGGGTTTTACGAACCATGGACCTTATTGATTATAACATCCTATCATCAAAGATCAATTTTTTATCTTATAACTAATCTTTTTATTTCTATTATAAAACATGTGGATGAGTACTCGTCTGTAAACTTGTAGTCGCCACTTTAATATTGCCATGGTTACTATCATAAGGGAACACCCTGTGTTGGGAGAAGTAGCTTGGAAATTAAGCCTTTTTTCCACTAGAGCAGATATTCAAATGCTTATGAAAAACGTTCAGAGAGCAATTTTGGTTGAATCGCGTTAGTAAAATCGGTAAATAAAAATAACAGTGATCAAAATCAGCCAAAAAATAACATCAAAATATCCTACCCCCAATCAATAACTATTTTATGTTGAAACCAAAGTATCATGTTTTCTTCATTGTACGCATTACAGGTGAGTCGAAACAACGCCAAGTCTGCCCTCAGCAACCTACAGTTCGAATTCGACAAAGAGAAATCGGAGAACGAAAAACTGACTCACGAGTTGCAGGTATTGCAGGAGAACCTTTCGGAACTTCAGATGCAGTGTCAGTGCCACTTGGATGACAAGCGCCAGCTCAAGGCCATGCTGTCCGAGACGCAAAAGCAGGTCTCAGAATTTGAAGATAAACTAAACCAAACGGAGAGAGCACTAAATGAAGAGAAAAAATTGCGACAGTTCGAAGTAAGTTGTCCGATTTCTTTCATTTCTAAAATATTTCTGTCCTTTGCACACAGGAAAAAATGAACGTGGTCGCTTTTTGGGCATCTTGGAATTTGTCGATAACGTACGCGGGTACAGGCGCTTTTTGTCATCGATTTCCTTTAAAATGGTGTAGTGTATGGAAAAAAGTCATCCTGTATTCAGTGTTCGAAATTATATTTCATGTTAAACTAAGCCAAATTCATATACATGTGATATCATTATCAATATGATATCACCAGATTTGTTGGTGCAGTATTTTTCCATTTAAAGCGGGGTTGGATTTTTAGCTGTTTTAAGAACAGTTTTCCAGGTACAATTAGATTCTTATTAAGCAGGCAAAAAACCTTTCTCCTAGTTTTTCAAGTGATATCTTAAAATTGGTGAAAAAAGGAAGTATAGTTTATTGTAATAGCCTCATTACTTGATGGGGGAAGTAGAGGGAGAGCTCATTAAATGCTCTTTCATAAACTCGCTCAATCTGTGAAATATTTTATTCTCAAGTCCATCATGAATGTGTTGTTTATCTCTTTTTCCAGATCAGTGAATGGGAGCAGTTTCAAGCAGACCTTCTGATGACTGTGCGCGTCGCCAATGATATGAAGACTGAAGCCCAAGTAGAATTAGAACGACTCGTCAATGAGAATAAGCAACTAAGAGATAAGAATCATCAATTAGACATTCAAGTTGATAAGCTCAAAGGTAAGTTAAAATTTAACCACGTACCATTATCCAATCTTTCTATTGTGTTTCATCATTTCTGAAGAGTTCTTTTAAGTAAACCATCGTTTAAACCTTATTTCACCTTGTTTTCGACAAACTCAGTGTCATTTATTTTGTTCTTTGACATGTAATAACTAATCCAAGTCTACACAGGTACGTAATAAACTTTATTAGAAGAGGAGGATTCCCGCCCTGAATAAAAATGCCAAATGATCTTGCTAAGTACTCCGCATTTCTAAAAATGGACTTGTCTTGAGTTAACACTTCAGTTAAACCACAAAATATATCTATCTAATCCAAAGAATTTCTCTTACATTTCTTGATCATTTGCCTCTCATCAGGATTTTGCAACTCTGAAAGTCTAATCTGGTCATTACAAGCTATCAATCACACCCATTTCTAGATACTGCTGTTACCTTTATTTGTCTAACAGAATTTATTTGTTTTGTTTTTAGCCGTAGAAAAACCAACAACACTTCCTCTCAGATCTGATAGTACTACTAGCGTTTTAACAACAGTTATGAATCATGAAATTAGTCGAAGGAGCAAAATCTCTCGGCAGGACAGTAGGTTAAGTGTGAAATCTCTCATTGAGAGTATAGAGAATGCAACTAAGCAAGCCAAGACAGGTAATTGTTTAATTTTTCCTTCTTACCTCTCATTCTAATGTCCATTACAAACCCAGTAGCACCTTTTGCAGGGTTCTAAAGTTTTCATTTCTTAACCGTAAAAAATCTACGCCTCCCCTTGCTTCCTGACTATTCGGAATCTAAAGGGGTTTCCAATTTTTTATGATTTATTCCTAGTGACACTGTGAAGATACTACATATCTTGACCCTTCATAAGGTTTCACTCAATTGTCAAAAATCTTAGCAACAGACCCTGTCATCCCGTGAGCTTTCTGCGAAGAGAATTTTTAACCTTTTACCAACGGTGCACAGAATTTCTATGGGAATTCTCATGCAGTAGCCACTGAAAATAGATTTCAATTGAAACAGTTTTTGAAACAAAGTAGACTTCCGAGACAAAATTTTCGAAATGATTGATTGATTATTTCGAATGAAATGTCGATCAAAGTATTTTTTCGAAGGTGGGCCTAGATAAATCAAACACTTTTTTCATCACTTTGTCTAGAGTTTCAAGCAGAAGAAAAATTGGTTTAGAAATTTAGTATTTGCTAGAAACCATAATAAATTTGCTTTAAAATTTATAACTTCAGTTACCTCAGCCATGAGGCAGTTCAAGAAAGTGAAAGAAGATAAGAGCAGTGTTGCTAAAGGTTTAGTTGAGAAGTTACGTCTGCCTTATTGCTATTCACCTTACTCTCACCCTCTGCATGAAGCTGCGTAGTCGGTGTCATAAAAGTACATTCTTATCGAAAAGAATAGTATTTTTTAGTGTAAATGCAAAATTCGAACATGAAATAGACTGTTTGTCTATCTTCGGTTTTAGGACCAGGTGGGAGCAGAAGTAGTTCAACATCAAGCCTCAGTAGTTTGACAAGTGGCGGTGGTCAGCCAACTACTCCAACTTCGCCTCTTCTTGAAGCACCTATGTCTAAAACGCCTCTTAGAGATCACACTCAGCTGAATAACAAACAGTCATCTGGCCGCAAAAGTGTCATCACCAATGCTTTATCAGGTACAATTTCTCTCCAGTTCAAAGCACTCGTAGATTATATAGCAAGCTTTCCTGTACCCGTCTAACGATTACAAGAGAGCCTGAATGCCTAGATACAAAGTTTCTGAGCCTTAGACTGTCTAACATCAAGCGAGTTACTAGCCTGTCCTTGCACAACTTTTTTGCAACTCTTTTCACCTACCTCTTTTTTTTCATTTTTTCTAAGTCCGTCAAAATACTTCTTTCGAAGTGTGCTTTGAGCATGTTGGAAAAATAAACAATATAGAAAGTATACCATCATCCCTTTAATGAATGTGCACGAATGCACTTTAATACTAATAAATCGGAGAAATAACCGCTCAAAACTTCGAGTTTGAATGAACCAGAACCCTCATTGATGACATCAACAAGGAATTCTTGATGATGTCATCGAAGCACTTAGCGATGACTTCATTGAATCACCCGTTTATGACATCATCGAAGCACCCGTCTATGACGTCCCTGTATGATGTAGATCGGTATGAACAGGGATAACTTATTGTAGATTGAGAAGACAATTCAATTGCTTAAAAATTGGAGAAATAACCATTATGAGCATACATAAGCACTCGTTCATGAATTTACTTTTACAAGCTCTCGTTCATGACATCACCAAAGACTAACTGATGACATGTCATTGAAACACCCATTTATGACATCTTCATATGATGTAGACCGGTATAAATCGGTATGAAAAATGATAGATCAGGACAAACTGGAACTAACTGAAGTAGTTGACCAACCCTGTTTTATCCTGATTTACATACCACATTTTATCTATATCCATCCCATTTTATCCTGATTAATTCAGATCTATTTATATTCATTCCGATTTGAAAATAATCGTTATACATCTGGATGAACCAGGATAGATCTCTTTTTATTTTTTTTATCAATTTTTTTTCTCTTCCCTGAATATTATGTATTCGGTAGTTACTTGCATGAGTTATAACCTGTGTTTGAAGTCCAATTGACTATTTCCATCTCTCACTTCTGTGAGACAGTGAGCAGTTTATCTTTCTCTCCGAATTTGTTTTTGAAAATAACATGCCAGCTGTAGATTTTCTTGTGTGAACGCCACTCTAATTCGTGATTTCACACTAGACGGATCAATGTCAGAAGGCAAATCCAATAATGATTTCGTGCATTTGTTTTGACTTCACTTTAAAGGAGGCTCTTTACTGAGAAGAGAATATTCTTGTCTTGTTTACGATTGAAAGTTATTTTTAAACTAAAAATACTGATCCTCAAGCCTTGACGTCATGAGCTGAGCACCGGTTGTAGAGTTTATGTTGATTTGTATCAGTCTTGCTGCATGTTGAATGGATTTTTTAAGTAGTTATATTCTATTTTGGTTTGATTTAGATGGTCATGAATCTTTAAAGAATGCAAAGTCTGTTGAAGATGCATCGCCCACTGCATCAATTCTAGCAGCATCACGTGGCATGGAATTTGTTGCTCGCAGAAATAGCTGCAATGATTTGAGTATGTATCTGTCCTTTTTCTCTGTTCACTTTCCTTTATTTCTTCACAGTATTAATTTAAGTATCCATCAACTGCACGTTTTTAAGATGAGTATCAACTGAGGTACTCAATTATAAAATGTTTGTATCAGAATGAAGGATTTGAATAATACATTTTACTCATAGAGTGCAGGACTCTTTTAGTTCTCAGTTGGTATTATAATATTAGAGTTCGGTATTATCGGTCAATTTTCCTTTTTTCCTTTCTTTCCCTTCCTATTTTGATGTAAGTCCTTTTGCCTAGGAATGGTGCTTGTAAATCAGAGAAAAGGTACAATGTTTTCCATAAAAATTTGCCCGCGCGTTAACCTTAACCCCTTCATTAGCAGGCTAAATTCTGCGTTTGTCATGCAAACACATGGGAGCGAGCATCAGGAAGTGTAGAAACTTGTACTTCAGATCCTCCTCAATAAATGTAAATACTTCAGAACAAAGGTTGCGGAGTAATTGTGAGATTCTGCAGGAAGGATTTGATTTTGCTGAATGCAGATGCTGCGTCTGCGGTAATGAAAGGGATAAAAACTCATTTGACCCTCAGCCAGCTACGCCATGTCATGGATGCGAATAGTTTTACATACTCTTAAATGAACTGCAGAATGCAGTAAGATTTTTTTAAAGTCGAATAGTAAGGCTAACACTGTTGAAGCTTGAAATTCGGAATCAGAAGAGAGCTATCATCTTCTAATGAGGTTTTTAAGTGGGTTTTCAGCTCTCTGGAGAATGATTTGATTGTTGATAGATCGATTGATAATTTCTAAATTCTATGATGATACCTCAGGATTTCAGAGCATCTCATCATGCTGTAAAACGTCAGGTAATGGGTATAGAATTTGACAAAAAAATACTTTGAAATTACTCTATCAGTGAATTCGTGAATCGCTTTGCCCTCCAATTTGCGATATTCACTTGGAACGAACTTTTTAAGCTATTTTAAAATTTTTCTTGGTGTGATTTTGTGAACAAGTACCTGACAGACTTCAGAGTGATATCTGGAGGTTTTGAAAAAATGTCCTAAAATTCAGAAATTATCAATCAAAAGATCAAGTCTTGAAATGTTTACCAAAATGCTGGAGAACTGGTTCCTTTTATCATAAATATGTCCAATTATAACTTGCTGGGCTTTTTAGCATTGTTATGTCCTTGTAAGACTTGTAAACCTCTGTAAGCATGCTTATGATTTCTAGTTGTAAACCTGACTCTCAACTGAAATGCCTTCTTAGTTTCCTATACTTGTAACATGTCTGTTGTAGGTGAGAGGAAGGATCCATTGAGTGTATTAGTCAAGAATGGTGGATCAAAGAGGAACGCGCTACTTAAGTGGTGTCAGAATAAGACTGCAGGTTATGGAAACATCGATATTACCAACTTCAGTTCCTCCTGGAATGACGGTCTAGCTCTGTGTGCCATCCTTCATTCATACTTACCAGACCGGGTGCCTTACCATACGCTCACACCAAACGAAAAGCGCAGAAACTTCTCAATAGCCTTTGCTGCAGCTGAGTCTGTCGGCATTCCCACCACTCTTGTAAGTCTCGTTACTTTTGTTCCTCATTCTTTTGACCAAGCAACTAAACAAGATTTTATGTTAAGTAACTTGATAGATGGCTGATGGGCTCAAAGGACCCTACTACAAAACGGCCAAATCGGCCTAAACACGGAATCGTACGATTTTCTCAGGGATGATAGAGGGTCTTCCCAGACACTCAAAACTGGTCATATTTTTTGCCTAACCCCCAGGGAAAAGGGGGGAGAGGGGGTCAAAATCAAAACCTTTAAATTAGCATAACTTCTCAACGGTTTGTCGTAGAAAGATGATCTTGGTGTCAAAATTTCCAGAAAAATGAGAGCTTTCAGAATATGTGTATGAAATCAATTAAATTTTAAAATTTGACCAACTTTTGGGGCATTTTACAAGGCCCCCCTTTCGTAAATTTTCGTTTTTTGAGATTTTCGGTTGTTCGGTTCGCACGGATTAAAACAAAAACAATTTCAAATGAAAGTAGAGCGTTTAAGCTTTAAAACAAGCCCAAGATGATCTTGGGGAAACGATTAGAAACGGAGTTATGAGTCTTCAAAGTTGACGCGGCGCGCAGGAACCTTGTATGTTCCGAGTCTCAAGGTCACCTGCGCGCCCCGGATTGCCTGCAGGTTGCAAGTTTTTGTGTTTTTATGCTTCTGTAGGTCATTTTTAATGTAAATCATTCAATGAAGATAGTTTAATCAGAATTTTTTAATTTTACACAATGGGCCTTCGGCGAGGTACACCACATTAACGTCAAAAAATTTTAACTGCGTTTCAAATAGCCCCCTCAAGAATAACTGAGACTTGTCTTGAAGCTCAAAGCTCGTCTGCTTCTACGAGAAACTATTTGGCTTTACCAAGTGAGTTCCGTCAAGCGCTGTAGCTTATAGCTCAATTAAAAAAATTTAAAATTAGGGGTACCCCAAAATTTGGCATCAATGGGTTATAATTTCTAAATGGTTCAGTTCTGTATGGAGCATATGTATATTTGAACTGAGGGTCCATGGTTTCTTCTAAATTATAAGAGCAGAATCGTCATCGTCAGCAAATGTTTAATGAGGTATGATGGACATAATGGTTGATACTCTAAGCCCCCTCTCGCTCCTCCCGTAAAATTAAAAAATTTCGATTAAACTATCTTCATTGAATGATTTACATTAAAAATGACCTACAGAAGCATAAAAACACAAAAACTTGCAACCTGCAGGCAATCCGGGGCGCGCAGGTGACCTTGAGACTCGGAACATACAAGGTTCCTGCGCGCCGCGTCAACTTTGAAGACTCATAACTCCGTTTCTAATCGTTTCCCCAAGATCATCTTGGGCTTGTTTTAAAGCTTAAACGCTCTACTTTCATTTGAAATTGTTTTTGTTTTAATCCGTGCGAACCGAACAACCGAAAATCTCAAAAAACGAAAATTTACGAAAGGGGGACCTTGTAAAATGCCCCAAAAGTGGGTCAAATTTTAAAATTTAAATAATTTCATACACATATTCTGAAAGCTCTCATTTTTCTGGAAAGGACCCCGCACGGTTCTTATGGAAAATTGCCCTCGGTCAAATGCGTTGAAACTTCAGTATGTTGTGCAGCATGTCATCGTGAACAAAAGTTCCAATAGGCCAAACAAGATCCCATGTGCGGTTTTCGAGATATTCGCCGTTTTATGTGCGTAAACGGAGGTTTCGCGCGCTCCCGCCGGAGCCATACCATTGTGCGGCGCCGCTCGTGCCCTTCCCTCCCAGTCACTCTCCGCTGCCCCGCCGCCCATACCTTGGCTCCTCTATCGCTCCAACTACGACGCTCACGAGGCTGCGCCCATCATTACCGGACCGCGCCCGCACGCCGTCTTCTTACGCGGCCTCTTCTTCGGCCATGTCGCCTCTGTTTCTCGGCGATCCTTTCTCTAAGTCTTCAGAAACGTTTAAGAAGTCCATTTTTACTAAACATGATAATGCTAATAACACAAATAATACAAAAAGAGAGGAAAAACAAATGATAATCCATGCGAAAGTACGTAGGAGAGTTGGAATGCCTAAGAGACGTTGAATAAAACAAACTTTTTTTTATTGTCTTCCCTCTTCCTTTCTTTCTTTTTTTTCTTCATTTTTCTCATGTGGAAGCAGTGAAAGTAAATTCTGTCGGAAGATGATGTTGATGTTTTTTCTTTTGTTTTTTCTTTCTTTCAATAATGACGTGGCGGAGGTTGAAGGTAATTAGTCGGCTGACGATGCCCAAGTATAGGAATTAAGTTTGCTTTAGTCTTGACTTAGCTGAACCGCACCAATGGAGGAGGAGAGAGGGATCATTAATAACTGAACTCTAGGAAGAGAGATGTCCATTTAGGCGTAAATGGTCACATTTTAAGTCGCTCCAACTTGCAGCACCACCTTATCAGCCATCTTATTTTCTGCTGATCGTATCCTCTGATCAGATTGTACATCCAAGACGAACTCCAAAGAGATGATGAACAAGAGTTGCACGTCGATCGTAACATTCATGCGCGTACGCGGCTTTTTGTGAGTACGAGTTTTCTCCAGCTTCCATAAAAAAGACATTAAAGATGCGGCTGGAAGACCATTGCAAGAAAATCCCTAAGTAACTTTCGAAGGTCGATGGTTCTGATCGCCGATCGTAAACTCGTACTCGCAAAAAAGCCGCGAATGCGCATGAATGTTACGATCGACGTGCAACTCTTGTTCATCATCTCTTTGGAGTTCGTCTTGGATGTACAATCTGATCAGAGGATACGATCAGCAGAAAATAAGATGGCTGATAAGGTGGTGCTGCAAGTTGGAGCGACTTAAAATGTGACCATTTACGCCTAAATGGACATCTCTCTTCCTAGAGTTCAGTTATTAATGATCCCTCTCTCCTCCTCCATTGGTGCGGTTCAGCTAAGTCAAGACTAAAGCAAACTTAATTCCTATACTTGGGCATCGTCAGCCGACTAATTACCTTCAACCTCCGCCACGTCATTATTGAAAGAAAGAAAAAACAAAAGAAAAAACATCAACATCATCTTCCGACAGAATTTACTTTCACTGCTTCCACATGAGAAAAATGAAGAAAAAAAAGAAAGAAAGGAAGAGGGAAGACAATAAAAAAAAGTTTGTTTTATTCAACGTCTCTTAGGCATTCCAACTCTCCTACGTACTTTCGCATGGATTATCATTTGTTTTTCCTCTCTTTTTGTATTATTTGTGTTATTAGCATTATCATGTTTAGTAAAAATGGACTTCTTAAACGTTTCTGAAGACTTAGAGAAAGGATCGCCGAGAAACAGAGGCGACATGGCCGAAGAAGAGGCCGCGTAAGAAGACGGCGTGCGGGCGCGGTCCGGTAATGATGGGCGCAGCCTCGTGAGCGTCGTAGTTGGAGCGATAGAGGAGCCAAGGTATGGGCGGCGGGGCAGCGGAGAGTGACTGGGAGGGAAGGGCACGAGCGGCGCCGCACAATGGTATGGCTCCGGCGGGAGCGCGCGAAACCTCCGTTTACGCACATAAAACGGCGAATATCTCGAAAACCGCACATGGGATCTTGTTTGGCCTATTGGAACTTTTGTTCACGATGACATGCTGCACAACATACTGAAGTTTCAACGCATTTGACCGAGGGCAATTTTCCATAAGAACCGTGCGGGGTCCTTTTGACACCAAGATCATCTTTCTACGACAAACCGTTGAGAAGTTATGCTAATTTAAAGGTTTTGATTTTGACCCCCTCTCCCCCCTTTTCCCTGGGGGTTAGGCAAAAAATATGACCAGTTTTGAGTGTCTGGGAAGATCCTCTATCATCCCTGAGAAAATCGTACGATTCCGTGTTTAGGCCGATTTGGCCGTTTTGTTGTAGGGTCCTTTTTCAGGGTCTCCAAAATGGATATTTTCTGAACAATTGTCTGTAGTCAAAGCACGAAATGACGAAGGATGAAGAGCTGCCATGTGGGCAAAAAGGACTGTGTAGTGCTTCATCGGTATTACTTCTGCGTATTTGCCCCCATATCCCACCGCGCGCGCCATTTTTTACCTTTTCTTCAGACAGATACATCAAAATAGTAGACACTTTTTCCTCAAGAACCGCAACTTGACAAAATCAATGAGAAATGAGTTTTCATATGTCCATATAGGTATACAGACCTTTTAAGTAGGCCTTTTTAGGCTTTTGGATTTTGTGATCATAGCTGTCAGTATTGAGACTCAATTTTAATTTTCTAGTAGCTGTGAAGATTTCTTTCTCCAAGAAAAGTCAGCTCTGGTTTTGAGTAGAGTGATAGTAATAATTACGCATGATGGGGTGACTTGCCTCTTCACAGATATGAAACCTTGTAAATTGCAACCAACGTAATCATAATTAATCTAATACAGCGTATCTAATTTTAATTCAAGTATGTTAAAATCTTGCAGCAAAAGCAGAAAATCAGTACTTAAACTAACTACTCAGTATTTCAAACAAGTATGTTCAAGTATGTTAAAATCTTGCAGCAAAAGCAGAAAATCAGTACTTAAACTAACTACTCAGTATTTCAAACACCAAGCGAAAAGTGTCACATGTTGCAAGATTAGATTTATATTTATTGGAAAGAATAACAAGAGTCCTCAGGATTGTTAACTTTGATCTTTCTATTGTTATTTTTTCGGGAAAGATTCGTCAATTGTAAAGATTTTTATGTTTTTTTTCCAGAACATAGTTGACATGATCCAGCAGGAGAGGCCTGATTGGAACCAAGTCATGGCATATGTCACTTCTATTTTCAAACACTTTGAAACTTAGAACTCGATGAACATGTTTCCGCAACGATGTGTGGCGCTTGTTGCTCACTGCCATACTCGTTAGTCTGTTGTTAGTGCTCTGTTTTCCTATAATTAAGTTTAAGTTAAAGCTTTCTGTGATTAATGATGGTTTATTTTTAGAACTTAACTTTTGATTTATAAATTTAAGGAAAATACCAGAATCTTTTGACTCATTGTGAGTTTCCCGTTAATATTTTTTTAACCAGTGAAAGGGATTTGCCTTTTCTGTTTAATGTTGAAAGATATCTTGGTATCTCTGATATTTTTAATTGCAGTATCATACCAAAAAGAAGATAATAATGGAACCATTTCCTTTCTTTGTAAAAAAAAAAAACTCCCCTGCTTAATTTGCAAATCTCTTCTTGTTAATGTTGAACTATTTGGTGTACATACAGTGCTCAGTCTCAAACTTAATGTAGCATAATCTTGTTTCTTTTTCTCCTTTTTTTCAATATTTTGAATCAAGTAGTTATTGTTAACTTGATGTTGTCATGGTTGACTCTTATCATTTTTGGACATTCTTATGTTCCTGCATTTTTCTCCTTTAGTGGCTACGTTCTTTTTTTTTATCATTTGTAACTGAAAAGAAATTTTGAAAGTTTTAGTTGTATTAAAAACAAGTATACACTTCTTTTTCCAAATCAGTATAAATTTTCTGAAATATTGACATTTTCACACCTGAAAAATCAAAATTTCCAATTTTTTGCCTCAAACTCATGATACTTTTAGACGGTCACCAGACCGTGCCTTACAGAAACTAATTTTTTCATTAAATATATTCTAAGTGATAAAACATAATCCAAGTTCTAATGTGGTCTCATTAAATTTTTTTGCAACTGAGGAATTAAATGGTAATTAAATTGTTGCTGCATTGTTGTGACAGTCTCACCATGATTGTAAAGAAAATCTTATTTGTCAATCAATAGTTCGTAATTTTGTAATAGAGAAAGTTATAGTATACGATTTCAGGCGGATATTTACTTCAGATTTGTCTTTTAGACCCCTAAATTGTGGTTCTTGATGTTAAACTGTTTGGCATCCTTGCAATTTATGGTATTAATTAACAACTTTTGTTTGTAAGTTAGCGACTTAACTGTAATATCTCAGCAACTTGGTAGCAGACATCGGTAGGCGTACCTTAAAGTTTCTTGATTGAGGTACTGGATTTATGTAGAAGAGTTTCATCTAAATAAGTATGTTTGAAATTATAACTGTTTAATTAAAATTCATAGTATTCACTAAAATTGAGGGAAGGTGCATCAGAAAGTGTGTTTACTGTAAAAATACGAAAGAAAACATTCCTAAGACATTTTGTCGTATCTTTCTTAAGAAATTTTAAATTGAGTTCAGTGTCTGTAGAAGGAACTTGATGAAATCATGATAATATGAATTCAATGAGCTATTTCTTCAGTACTTGTTGCTGTTGTAGAATTTCTTGTCCGTCATGAACACGATGACTGTCTTATCCAAAGATTTTTGTATCAAAACCACCTCTCCCCCCCCCCCCCCCTTTTTTTTTTTTCTCCAAAAACCTAGTTTATATCATAGAATGACAACTTCCATAAAAGTGTTCTCGTTAAGTGCAGTACCTTAATCATAGATTTATGCAAAATGTGAACTTTCGTCACTTTAAAGTGAAAATACTCATTTTCGGAATGGTAGCTGTTCCAGGTCAAAGTTTCCAGGTGTCAGAAAAAAATAGTTATTTTCTCCTGACCTACACTTCATTCTTTTTATTCTATAATTAATTTTTACTGTTTTTGACTTAATGTCCGAGCCTCATCATTGCCTTGTTGATGCTGGTATAATCTCCTCTGTAAAAGAGCCGTATTTCAAGAGAAATGGAGTTCTTGCATGCAGCAAGAATTTTCAATTCAATCAATTATTTATTTTTACAATTTTGCAAGAAACACAAAGTTGCTGCTGGTTTTCTGCAAGATCAGCTCCCTATCTCATGAAACAAATTGCAATGTTACTTTCCGCTCATCTGATAAAATTTCAAAATCAAAACTTTGAAACATTGAAATTTTTCCTTGGTAATCAGGTAGACGTAAAGTAGCATCAGTCAAGAGGTTAACTCTATTCTGTTAAAAGTATTCCAAATATGCTTTGTCTCCTAAAAGCCTGAAAAGTATGCAAGTGTGCTCAGGAGCAATCTTGGCTCATTCCTGACCTTTCTTAGTACAACTTTTACTTTTATTACATTGCCAAATATTTAGAGGGCATAGTTAAATTTAGCTCATGTTTATACGTACAGCCGCCTTTTTCCTAAGATAGTTTTAAGATTATTTTCTCCATCAAACTTTGGCCAAATTTGAAAGAAGCTGTGTCCTATTTGATTAAAATTTATTAATTAAAAAATAAAATATACAAATGTTCAAATTCCGAATTGTCAAAAACCTCTCTTGGAAGAATTTCTCACATATAAAGCTAGTTCACCATTGCAGTTTAAAAAATGCATAACATACAGGAGGATGGTGGGAATGAAAGTAGACAGATTAAATGCTACTTTGAGTCGCAAATCAACAAGTTACCTACAATTGAGTTTTTCAGTGTTGTGTCATCAGAAGTGAATATGTGAGTGCTCCAAAAATATTTTGCAAAAATTTACAAAATGTCGTAATATTTCAAGAAAGTTTTAAAAATATTTTAGCTTCATTAGGTAAGTTCCTTTTGGAACAGTAAAAATTCCATACAAACCATTAGACGGACTAGGCCTGTCTGGTTTTGCATTTAGTGTCATTGCTTTCGTTTCAATACACATTCAATCCTAGAAGATTAAAAATTGCATTTTTTATTGCCTCAGAACTGTATCACATTCCTTTTCTTATTTTGAAACTCTACCGAATCATTCAATCTCTCTGATCTGTGGGCGATAATTTTTCATAAATTTGTACAATGCATATGGTAGCTCATTCAGGAATTAGGTAATTTTTGCTGCTTCAAGGCTGTTAAGTGACCTTTTAAAATTTTCCAATTTGACTGAAATACTGCTCCACCTTTTTTTTTTTTTTTTTAGAATTGTACAGATTCAAGGGCTCTGTTCAAGCATCTATAGTTTACTTAAATAGTTCACCCTAGGGCTTGCTATCAAATATGTTGTTTTTCTTGTTTGTGTGGGTGTCGGTCTTGTGCAACCGCTCTAAAGCCTGCTGTGCGAAATCTAAGTGAAAAAGAGGAAGAAAAACTGTATTAATTCTGGTAGCACTCTCATAACTTCAACCTATTCAGCATGTAGTACTAATTCTTGAAGTATGAAAATTTCAATTGAATCAGATACCTATAATCAGACTTGCAAGCCCCAACTTTTTTGTGTGAAAGTGACATGTAGGAGACACAGAAGTATTTAAATTTAAGTGGCTATTAACGAAGTGTAAAGGAAGAATCTTTAGCATTCACCGAGCAAAGTCATTATTTTTTTCCAAGTTTATGTATTTTGTTATCCTATGTACTCTATTCAGGCTTGAAAACTGATATTTTTAGGTTCTTTTGCTCTCCGCCAAGCCTCAGCAAAAGGGAAAATATCTCAACCAAAAGGTTATGCTTCTCAATGCTTTGTACTATTTTTGTATCATACTTATGTCAATATTTTTTTTTTAATTATTATTTTTTTATCATATTTATTTTTTTCTCATGTTAAAATGTTATCTTATTCCTAAATACTTCTTTTTTCTCCTTTTTTTCTTATTATTTTTTTTTTTTGGTGAAAAATAAAACAGGATGTATTTCCTACGAGAGCAGTAGGTATTTATTATTCCTCCAACCCTTTTGTACCTTGTCAAATCTAATTGCAAGTATAATTTACCCAATAAAATATAAGTACTGTTTTACGGTATAATTTTGATCATAAAATTCAAAAAATTTTCTAGAACATTTGCATTTCAGTAGAAACCATCAGTTAATTTTTCCTCAGAAAAATAAAAAATGAAAGGAGACTTACAATGTCGCTATCTGAGTCATGCATAATTGAACTTTAGCCATCGGCCATTATAATGTATACCATTACATAACATTACATAACATTACATACCAATATGTAATGAAAACAATGGGGTTGAATGCATTGGAAAGGTGGAGTAAAATTTTTTTCCGTTGTACCAAACTAACGAATCATTGTTTAGTAAACTAATCTAACAGGAGTGAAACAAGGCAAAAAGTCAACTTTTATTAGGGAACTGGGTAATGTACCCTTCTTCCTATTATAAGCACCAAGTGCTGAGAACCATACTTATTCATTGTTACTCCTTGAAGGATCTTTAAGGCATAATAATTGATGAGCCTACCCAAGTTGTAAGATGAGGCATCTCTCTAGTGAAAGCATGAATACAATAAAATCGGCTATAAATCTATAAATTTGACGTGAAGTGTGTGAATTTTCTAATAACCATAAATCCTCGGTAAAAATATTAGGCTCATTTTACTGCTCTGTAACGGTATGCCCAATGGAGAATTTGCACACAAAATGTTATTGCTCTTCTGAGAGTGATTAATGAGCTGAGTTCGCAGTATTTTTCATAATTTTTTTCTGAAGTGGAAAATTTGAGAAAAATAGATTTACAAGTGAGAAAATGTGCCGTCCTATGATGTCATCTGGCGGCTTTGCCCATTTAAACACATGTATTTTAGCAGATTAGGTTATTTTTGCATATTTTCTCCTATAATTGTTCAATTTAGAAACCAGCAATATTCTCATGCTTAGTTTTCCCAGTAGTATCATTTTGAAGATGAATTTCACAAAATTTAACACCCCTGCAAATTCTCTATTTTCGTCCACTACCAGGATGTGATTTAAATTTAGCGCCATCAGCCAACACGTCATCCGCATTAATCAGGCTGCACTGACAGTAAAGCCCTGGTCAAGTTGCAAAGGTCTTCTTCCGAGAATTTATTAAATTACGAATTGAAGATTTTAACCGTTTAAAACCTCCGATTTAACGCGATAATCATTCAGATTTCAGAATTTGTGCCGATATTTTGCCTAATTTTGTGCTATAATTTCAAAATTCAACTCGAGAGCCGAACCAGCTTTGCCAATTTTGGCAGCCAAAGTTGGCAACAACAAACGTGACCAACCACGTGACACACGTGATGTAAACACAAAACTTGTTCGGTGCTGTGCAAATTATGCAATTAGAATTTCGGACGGATTTGCAATCATCGGACTACCGGAATTTTGCGCTATGATTCAGCAAATCTTCACTAGTACTTAGTTGAGTGAATCTCTGTGTTTTCATCCGCTCTTTATAAATTAGCCAAGGTGCCCTCTTACTTACGCTCTCTGGAAAAGCATTTCATCACCTACGTTGAAGTATTTTCCTCTTTGAAAGAATTTGAGTTAGGTCATGTCCCAAGACATCAAAGCTCCAGGTATATACAAATGTCCTTGAAGTTTCGGCCCTTATCATCTTACCTCCTTAGTTTGTCCTAATTTTAAATATTTTACCCTGGTTTCAACTCCATATCTGCCCATAACTTGGCAGAGTACTGAAGCACCCATAAAGTATGAGTATGCTTAGGTATCATTTCTGCATTTTAAATGAGTTGCTCTTTAACTTCTTTTCATGTCGTCAGCTCTCTACAATTCAAAGTCCATGCATTCTTGAACTCAATCATTTCCTTGAATAAATTTCCATGTAACGATCTGACAAGGTATTGTTTCTCTACATTTTTTTACAATTGTAAATCAACGTACTGTGTTTTCCTACTTATCATTTTGTTTCAGCGAACATGAGGTCTTTGACCAGGTCATATTCTCCCTTATGTTTTGTCTTCGAAAGGTTGAACCAAATAAACACACTGATGACAAAAATTAGAGTAATACACAATGTCGAGAAGTAGTGCATGCCTATTTCTCATCACTTGTGTAAAGAAAAAAATACTCCAGCTGTCCCTAAATTAGTGCACATGGAGGTCCTTTTACAAAGCTGGCAGGGTTGCATTCATAGTCGTTCCCTATACATTAAGGCCTCCTTAACCAATATAATTCCTATGGTTTAAGATAGCCTCAACGTCTTAGGAAAGAATATTTTTACGGCCTCAACCATACACCATAACCATTCGTTTTGTAAACTGTGCCTTTTCGCCAACTTCTCTGGTACTTATCAAGACTTTTAAATTTGTTATTTTCTCTTTCTAGGTATATCTGAAGGAGGGTTTACAGGCAGCACATCTCAGTCCGAATTCTTCGCAAATAAATTCCTTACTGTTGCTGAGGAATTATCAACCCCTGACCCAAGAACAGATATTTCAAATCCAAAGGTAGTATTTTATTCTATTTTTTCTCTCCTCTTTTATTTTATCTTCCTGAAGGTTGAATCAGGCCTTAAATGGACGTATTTCTGCTAAACGGAACAAAGCGGTATGGGGGAAAGAAAGGGAATACGGGTTGGATTGGTGGGTAAAGTTTATGGACAAGCTTATTCCGTCCCATGCTCACAATGCTCTTCCATGGCTCTTAGGTCCGCTTGACAAAACATGCCATCCGAGATTCTAAAATCCTCAAAAGGAATTCAAATTGCTCAGTTTTGTTTAGCAGAAATACGTCCCAATGTAGGTACCTCATAACTCGAGGGGTAAAAGCATGGGGTGAAAAAAATGCCAATTAATTTAACGTTATAGTGGAGGGTCAATTTTGCCGACCCTACTAGCAATGAATACGATTGGAACATTAGGAACTTTACAAACAGCCATTGTTGTCATCTGAGCGAGGTTATTTTTCAGGAGTGGTAAGAATACCAGTAGGATTTTTTTTTTTTTTGAGGTGAAAATAATAATTATTTTTTTTTCTAGGGTGCTGATGAATTTATCCTGGAAAATCAGACTGTTGAGCACTCCGAGAATAAACACTTAGCTCAATGTCCGACACTGCGTCAAGGTGACTTTCAAAATCATTTCGGCCATTGCTCATTAGTCACCCAGAAACTCAAAAATGAAGAGTCTTCATCAGGTTTGGAACAGTTGCTTACAACTTTCGGTGCTGAGAACTGTTGCTCTTGTCATGATGACTCCTGCTATCAGATTAGGAAAACTGCAGACAGCAAGGCTTTACTGAAAAGCTTGCAGGATAGGAAGGAAAAGTCTTCAAAGGAAGGTCTAAAATCCAACACTAGTTCGGTTTCAGCGAAAATTCAACCTGAAACGCACATTATGAGTCCGCCAATAAATTTCACTCGTTTAATTGATTCGGAAGCTTTGGGATTTTCTAAAAATGATTCATTATGGACAACAGCACTGCCTGCCCATGGAAAGATCGACATTTCACAGAACATAACTGAAAGGATAAGAGAGACGGGATTGGGATCTAGCACACTGAAAGTGAATCATCAATGGCGAAGAAGATCCGTCCCCTACGAGGGAAGACCAGACAGGAAAGTAAACGTTCTGCAGTGCAACTATCCAAGATCTACCCAATCAAACCTCTCCAAAATTGTGTATTCTTGTGCCCATTGCAATTTTAAAAGTTATGGCAGCAAGAAGTTCCTGAAGCAGCATTTAATAAGCTGTACAGAAAACTCAGCATGCACCCCTGGGACAGATGGAAAGCCACTTGAAATTCCATGTGGAAGCCATACATCTCAACATTTTAACTCTACATCTGCTTGTGGATCAGAAAATTCACATTTGTCTCTGAAGAAGGATGAAAAATTTGTTCTGGAGTCAGCAGGTTGTTCCAAATCTTTGTATGAGGATGGGCAGTACAAATCTTCAAATTTTTCCAGTGGAAAGTCCTGTGAAAATCCACTTCCTTCCTCCAGTAGTTCAAAGACTTCTGATCTTTCCAGCTCCTACATGGAAAAATATGTGTCATTACCAGCTTTCAAACAGCTGCTGCGATGCAAGTATTGCTACGTCAAGTTTGAGCAGTACTCAGATTTTAAGACTCATATGAAAATGCATCCAAGTGAAGGATTGCTTTCTTGCGCCCTTTGTCCGTATAAAAGCACATATCAAAACAACATAGAAGAGCATGTTATGAGCCACCATGGTTGTGTTAATATATTGCTGTGTATGTGAATTTTCTCTCTGAAAATGAGTGAGTGATTGATCAAAAATCAATCTCTGCTCTAGTCCGTCAATCTTAGTCGTGCAATACAGCTGTTGCTTAATTTTTATGTAACTACTATGGAATAGTAAATTTAAAAATGAGAATACCTTAGTTTCTCCAATTTTTATTATTATTATTTATTCAAATTTTAGCTGAGATAATTACTTTCCAATTCGCCGGAATTACAACTAAATTGCTAATGGGAAAATATCGCTCCAATAGATTTCCTGATGTCACATGAAGAATTGATTGTGGTGTATCCTTTTAATCTCATATGTTTTTTTTTTTTTTTTTTTTTTTTTTTTTTTTTTTTTTAAATCACTTTTTGGTCGCAATTGTAGACCGTATTTGCGATGCAATCGCTGTTTGAAGTAAACATTTTCAGGAAAGTTCTAAAGATCAGATGAAACTATCTTATACAGAATGCTCAGCAACCATGTTACATTACATTAATGGTGGCTGAAACTGTAGGTCATGGCTGCATATAGAAGCCTCAGGCCAATGAGAAACGCTCCCAAAATACCTTCAATTTTACGTCTTATTTCTCTGGCCACTAATTTTTAATAATGCAAATTACAAATAACATTTGAGCTGATCTTGAGTTTTCATTGATTGATCTATTTATTTTAAAAATTGAGCACATATTACGAGTATTTTTCTACAGCAGGTAAAAATCCTCAATCTGAATGAAATAAAATGAGACTAAAAATTCTTGGTGAAAATAGTTTTAATAATAGAGCTTGCCTTTTCTTATAGCTTATAAGTGTTTTTAGAAACGCACCGCAGAATGAAGAATTTTAATATTTTTAGCTATCAAAGAATTTCAACAAAAAATTTTCTTTCAACCGATTACACTCTCATATTTGTATTGAAAATATCAGGAGTTGTAATTCTTTTTCTTAGTTTTTAGTCAACCAAATGTATTAAATATTTTTTATAATATTCATTGCAGCTTTTTCACCACTTTTAAAAACTTTTTAACTGTCAAAAATAGCCTTCAGTCGTCTACTTCTAGGGGTCTTTTAATTGTTGGCCATAGGTCAACCATTTCTTTTTTGATTGTTTAATACAGTATTAACCACCCAGATTCGCAGTTTTTATATTTTATAAAGGGTTATAGTCTTCAATTTTGTAGTAAAGGCCACTGATTATTATGGTCACATCACTGTAGAATTGAAGTTAACTGTAAAATAACAATGTATACCTTTTTCTCAGGAATTTTTCTCCTCAGGTTTGTGTGATTAGTAGTACACGGGTTTTTCTTCTCTCTCTGCTAGATTAGTAGTCATAGATAATATTTTTTTATGCATAATTTATCAGTTTTATTGTTAATTAGTATGACTAAGTTTTTCACAGCCATGTGTATCGCATCTTACGCTATGGTGAAAATTTGCAAGTGAAAGTTCGTTTGGTTCTAGACTTAAACGTTTATTTCATTTTGCAACTGATTTTTGCGTGAAAAATCGCTTGTTTGTGTAATGGAGCTCCTGCAAGAAGCAGGAATTTTTGATGAATGATCTATTCTACTTTCCTAAAATGTCACGAAAATATGATACTACCCCTAGTTTTGTCTAAAATCAGCCAAAATTACGCACATTGGAAATGCTGATTTCTTCTCAAGGATTGAATTTTGGACTCTGGCATGTGGCCATCGTATTCTCCGAGTAATGTTGATGAGAGAACTTGCACTGCATTGCTAAATTTCCTCAGTCTCTTTCCATCACATAGAGGATAGATTGGTTAAAGCAAAAAACTTTGATTCTTGCGGGAACCCAAATGACCTTATTGACTTGTCAAGTCAACACAATTAATGTTTTAATAAAGTCCGTTTTTAAAAGTTTTTTCTGTTATTATTAGAATTAATGTCTGTTAATTAGAATTCATCTAAAAATCTAATTACCTTGTTATTAGAGTCTTGGCATCTATAAAGAAGAAATGAAATGGAAATTTGGTAGACAATCAAGATGTCAGCTCTCAAAATTTCGAGTTTTTCACTATATCCCTACTCCCTACCTTTCATCAGACACCTGGACATATGCTCAGATCCTCTTGTGAATAGCCAGTGCAGGAAGTCTCATATATTAACCACAAAAAGTCATTTTAGTATCCTATATTGATGGCGGAAGTTTGAAACTACATAGGTATTACTACTGCGTTGTTGCAGACCTCCTTGATTTATCTGCTCTATTAACAAAATATTCTATACAAATTTTAGTCCAGTAAATCGTCTCATTTCTGTTCGAAGGAATGTAGTAGAAATTTTGAGACACCACAATGAATATAGGTGGGCTCACACTTTAACCATCAATATATTAGGTCTCTAGTTCATGTCATTTATGAAGTGTTAAATTTACAACCGAACTGGAAAAGTTTTAACTGCAAAAGGTTAGGATAAATAAAGTTGATCAAAGCTAATTTTGAAAACAAATATTCCACGGCCAAGTTGTGTATTGGCCTTTAGAAAGTAAAATAAAATAAAACAAGATAGATATTTTCTTTAAAAAAAAAGAACGTAGGTCCTTTATTTTGCTATTTGTACAAAATCGAAATTTACAATACGAAACAAAAATGCAAATTACTATGGAGGCTTGGACAGTAACACGCATGCAACAACAGTTTTTGTCTCGTTTAGCAAGGTTGACAAATGGATCAAATTAAGCTGTATTTTTAACATAGGGAATTCGTGCACGGCACAGGAAACTGCTATTCACCGGGAAAATAAAATAAATACTGGGCTCCAACTACGGCTTTCAAAGCGCTGCTTCAGTGCTACAGAGTCTTAATAATTACAAATATTTACCTAAAGCATCATCATTGAGCAATACCTTTTGGAAAGTCCCCTTCAAGTTGGGTTCTATTCTATTGCAAAAAAGACGAGCCGCTAAAGTTTCATATTGATCATTAATTTACTGTCAATCTAGGAAGAGAAGGTAAAATGTGATGAGTATAATGTAGTTTTTTCAATTTCCCACTTTTCGAAACTAAATCCAACAACTGTTGTGATAACTAAAAGAAAATATCTTTCTTGAATTGTATCCTTTTTCTTTATTAGTTCATGTAAACGTTATACTATGATCTAGGTGCTTATTTAGGAGCTTTACTTCTTTTGACTTCCTAAATGGCAGCTGACAAAAGTGTGCTTTAAAAGAATAGTAACAGAAAACAAGACTGATTATTTTGATGCTTATCTGAAATGCATTGAGAATGCGCTTTAAAAAGCAGGGAAGTCCAGTGGCTTAGAAGTATAAGTGTCTATAATGAACCTCTCATAAATACTAACATCAATTTCACAGTTCAAGAAAAAATTCAACATTTTTAACTAATTTATTCAAGTATGAATCAATCATGTTTTTTCTGAAAATTGCTTCCTGATTAACTACGACGAAGTTAAGAGAAAAGAAAACGCAATTGAAACTTATGGAAATTCTCACACTTAAAATTGTTGAATTTTCGATGAGATATCATTCAAAAATTTCTGAGATCTAGGCAAATCTTTTTACCTCACTTCATGATGCACTACCTGAGAAATTAACCTCTGAGAGTGCAATTTACAGCACATTATATTACATGCTTGCGGACAGGAGCATAGCAACAATGCTCATCAGCAACTAGTCAATGAAAAAAATTTATGGTTTGTGAACCGAACAAGAAGAGAAAAAACCACTAATGTCCCAATGCAGTATGGCTAGGTAAAAAAATGATTCTTTGATTGACAAGACCCTGCCTTGCACTGTTCCTGTGCGCATGCACACTCGCACGTAATCAATGCCCCGATGATAAAAATACTAGCATCTGATACATGGGTGTCTCTTACACATGTATGCAACTTGTTATGGTTCCTATCCATCATATGGGTAAAGGGGGACCTTCAAACAAAGATTTTTTGGTTTGTATGACTAACGACAGGCTGTAGCGAAGTCTACTGATCTCAGAGCTTCATTCGATTATAATAATTTCGATACTTTTAATTGTTATAATAATTTAAATACTTAATTACTATTTACATCTATCAATGTCTGTACCATTAGCAGCCCTTCTTCTTATCAGACTCATCTCCATTATCGCAGATCCAACATCTTATGGTGCTTAACTTGGCGATGCTGCATACAGAAGGGCTATTCTTTTTGGAAAGGTTCTAAACTTTCAGAGTTGCCGATTCATATTACAGGGAACAATATATCAAATTTGGACTTAACTGGATCAGGAGGTGGGCGGAGATTTTAGTGGTCAGGCATTAGCTACTGATACTATTCTATCCTCAAAAATTGAAGAACTCAAAAAAGGAAAAAAAACAGCTCGACTGGCAATTTTGCTATTTCCACTTTTTCTGCCAAGAGACCTTTAGCAAAAAAAAAAATTTAAATATCTTTGAAACACGCCAAGTCATTGGTTTCTTTTAAATCACCGGTTGAGTTTCCTGGTGTCATCCACCTTTGATCAGTTTAACTTCATTTTCTGCATCTTGACTTAACGCATCAAGACTAACTACGATTGACTAATAATAATTTGAATAATTTAACTTGAAACATTCTACAAGTGCAAACTGTGCCCTAAAATTAATATTCCTCCAACATTAAAATACTCAATATGTCAACTGACGGATAGATTGCTCGGTGTGTCTCGAAGCAAATGTAAGCAACTATGATTTAAAATGATCATATTCTGTATCAGACATAAATTACGATTGAATAAAGAGGAAAAATGGCCTCATTGAGGCTCCTTTTTCCGGTCATCGCCTCAAATAGAGGGGAAAATACAATCTTGAAGAGGGAAATTTTAAAGTTATGATTAATTAACAGAAATAATAATAAAACACTTCAAAGAACTTCTACTGTAAAATTTCTTTAGTATGTACATTTGTTTATTCTGGGTAGGAGTACATCATTACTCAAACGTAGCCAGGTTCAAAAGTCTGGGTTCTTGGGTTCATGATTTATCAGTTATTTTTTTATTATAGACCCTCTTCGTAGGTAATATTGCCCTCTTTTTTTGGAGGGAGTAGAGATTGTAAAATCAATCTGATAATGTCCTATTAAATACCTAATTGTCTTTGGAGACTGCAAGATTTAGGGCTTCTTCGTGAGTTTGGTTTGAAAAGGAATTAGACCAGACATATTTTGCAGCAATTTTGTCCACAGCTTCGTAACTGATGAAGGACAAACAAGGGACAAGGGTACAGAAAATTCTTGACCACAAGACTTGCTGCTCACGAGCAAAAATGGGTAAAACGTAAAAAAGGACTTGTAAGTAATGAGACCAGTAATCATGAGCTTGAAAATTGCACGTTTTTTGCAAAATTGAGGCCACTCAAAAATAAAGCAAAGAGTGGAGTGAGAAAAAAGAAAAAAAAGCCATCACTTTCAAAAGTTCAGGAAAATGGAAGTTTTTAAAATGGAAAGGGTAAGAACTTTCTGCATCCCTGGCAGGGAATCAATTGCTGAAAGAGCCAGCTTTGACTTAGTTATTTGATTGACGTTTTTTCAAATCTTTTTCCTGACATTTGAGATAAAGTTAAGCAAGAAAAACGCTTCTTGCAGAAACTCCTCAATATATAAACTAGGGATATCACAAAAAGAACAGTAGCAGCATAGCACCTGAACGAGGGATGAAGCTGCAAAAATCGGCGGACGTTTTACAATTCATCGCGGACATATTTTGGTTTGAGTTCTTCAATCCTCTTAATGATGTCAGCTTTCTCAACGCACCCATCACAAGTCTCGTCCCATGTATTCAAGATCTTCTTTAGTTCCTTCACCTTGAGTTTCTTGAGGTCTACAGTCTTGAAGTCAATTTGTTTATCTGGAACAAACAGAGGGGAAAAATTGATGGCTTATAACAACTTTATCACGTAAAATTATTTAAAGAAAGATGTTTAATGGTGCCACTAGTTAAGCTTCCTGATGCATGAATAAAAATCAATTTCCATCAAAAATAATTACAACCGAATAAATGGGATTAGTACCACGGTGATAAAGTGAAAAATTACTTAGAAAAAAAAAAAAAAAAACATAGGTGGGTTTAATGGTAATTCAAAAGGCAGCTGCAAAACCTTACATCACAAACGAACCCTACAACCCTGCAGTATTACTGCTATGAATATGAAAACAATCTGATACGTCTACAAATAAAAAAAAGAAGCGACATTCACACTCTTTGCAGGTGATAAGAATGCTCCCTTTATTAAGAGAGGATAATTACTTTTGCTAAATTCCTCCTCTTCTTCTCCTACTAACGACTAGGGCACAGCCCTGTTTGTCAAGCTCTTAAGCGCTGAGCACACATAGATTACTAATAAGTACAAGAGATTCCTTAAAAATTAAAACAAGCAGCGATAGGAATATTTAACTATCTTTGAGAGAAGAGAGCCACCTCTTTGCCCATCTCTTGGGCGGTTATCCAGGTAATTTTTTCCGTAGTGTTTGTCCATTCATACAAATTTTTGTAAGTCTCCCCTCATCCATTTCCGTCAATGTGCACTGACTACACCCTCCTTCTGACCCTGGGATACTCTGCAACATCTTGCACCCCACAAGCCTCCCTGATGGACTTACAGGTCTGCCAAACCAAAAGTGTAATCTCACTATTTTCCTCAAAACTTTCATCTCAACCACATGATATTGCTGTTGGGTGCGCTTCGTCTTATTGTCAGTGATAAAATCACTAAGAAAATTTTAAAAATTTCCAAACGGCATCAAATAAAGCCACATTTTGAATCATTGAAAAGTACTCACCGTAGTGAAGTTCGCAAATCTGTGAGTCCACTGCTTTAAGTTTCCGGCAGATTACTTCAGGGGGCAATGGAACAGCGAGGGGTTCAGATAACTTTTTCAAAATGCCGGTTGCAGATTCTTCAAGGCCACCAAGATAGTAACACTGTAAAATATATAAAAATTAATCAGGTCAATAAAATACTTAGACAGGGTTTCTACATTTGTCGATTTAAATTTTCCTCTACAACTCATCCATCACAGAAACATAACACAACCACTCTCCTAATACTCTGATCAATAACAACTTAAAAATTCAATTTCTGAATTTAATATTTCTTGTTTTACCTCAATACCACACAATTTTCCTCAAAAAAAAAAAAAAAAAAAAAAAAAAAAAAAAAAAAAAAAAAAAAAAAATTGGGCTTTTTATTAAAGTTGAAATGGATACACTTGTCAAGAGCATACATCACGTCACCAAAATTTTTGACTGATTTATTCAATCCAAAAAATGGTATTTTTTTATGTTTAAACACTCATTTTGTGATTGATTTCAGTAATTTTATCTAAGAAATAAGCATGTGCTAGTAGGTAGTTATGGATAGAAATGTAAACTGGAGAAAAACAGGTTGCACCTATGGAGTAACTTACTGTTTCACTGTCTTCCTAAACTTTTGGGAAAACTCAAAAAGTTGTTTTATGATATGACTATAGAAAAAACTGAGGTTAAAAAGGCATTCAGTGCCCATTGCTTGATAAAATTAAGATTAATCATGCCTGAAAATGGTCGCGGCTTGGCTTAATAGTTCTAGAGTGAGCCACTGTCAAAAAGTAAAAAACTAAAAACCTTCAAAAATACATGACCACACTGCATTTGGATGCATTTTGATGAATGCACAATCTGGCAGGAATGAACAGAAACAACTTTTCGATTAGATGTAAAGGTTGCATTATGAGTTGAGAAATAATGCATGAAACAGGAGACTTTACTATTTGTTTAAGTCATTAAGCCAAATTTCTAGACTTTATTCCTACTTCCAAAAAGTTCATTGAAATTCCAAATTTATTTTGGATATGAAGGCACCTTGAATAATTTAAGTAACAACAGGATGCAGTTAACAAGACATTCATCTCCAACGTGTACCAATTAGGCACATTAACTTGAAAAGATCTGATTACAAGATCTTAGCAATGCGGGGCTTAGATAGTTTACATAGATACTTACAAATTGATTTTCTTTACTTTTAGTGCCTTTACAGAACACTTTGAATGCTTTTTCTATTTCCTTGGGGTTGTCTTTGATTGAATTGTCTAAAGTGGCTGCAAATCGTTTGACCATCGATACACACACTGAAACAAAATCAAGAGAATCACTGTAGCATTATAATGAAGAGTTTTTGGATTTCTGCACATGAATGCACAATTGTACATAAATCCTGTAATGGATGGGTTTAAAGGACAAGTCGCATAAGTGCAGTTTTTGCTATTTCAAGAAAAATGTGCTCAGGGTATTGAAATTAAATGGATCCTTATGGCGGAAAGAAAGTTCAAACTGCCTTTATGGTACTTAAAAATTGGAATTTGGGATTAATTTTTCACAAAATATCTACTTCGAATAATTTTACTTGAAGTAATTGATACCTCAATTTTTTCAAAAACTGCACTAATGCGCCTTATCCTCCAAGCCCATGAATTGGAGAGTCAATCCATATTTAAGGGGAGATATCTTTGAGGATAATCTCCTCCTTCCACTCAAGATTTTTCTCAACTTTAACAGGGAATACTTGGGCCCGTATCTCAAGAGTGCATGATTAAATTTTGAAGTTAATTAGTCAAAAGTACAGAGGAAAACATTTCATAAATTTTAAGGATGACCAATCACAGAAATTTCTTCCGCCATTCATTTGAATTTATTTGGGCTGATTAACTTTCATATTATATCATTAACTATTAAGACATAAATACACCTCCTTTGGGTCCAATTTTTAATAAAATAACCCGAGTGAAACACATAATTAGTCATGAATTAAACAAGGTTTCAATAGGGGTGATTGTTTACATCGGATACACCTTAAACTACTGAAAGTATGAACTGCAGACGCACTGCTGCTGAAGTATCAATTCTAGTAATAATTTAATTTCAGTCCATCACTCCTGAGTTGAGGCAATTTCCTTAAAGGACTGTTCGTCTATGAATCCCTCTACCTTCAGTTCTATGACTTATTCATCCTTTGCTTGTGAAGCCCCCGAGGAGTAGCCCCGAGCATGATAACTTCGACAGGAATCTGCTTCAAATGAACCATGCGCCTTAAAAGAGCTTCCGATTCATTGCATTATAACAACACTCGCAGGAGTGCCAAACTGCAGGAGTGTATACTCTCACATTGAACTTCAGTTTGATCGTGGCACCATTGAAAGTTTTGGATCAAATGCTCCTGAAGCTTGCTTGACCATACCTCTGAGTTAGATGCAGTGTTACCGTTCTGCGTAATTGAGGACTTTTTTTGCGTAATTGGAGGGTTGCTGCGTAGAGGCTGCGTAATGCGTAATGCTGCGTAATTGGAAGAATTCTGCGTAATTCGTGCGTAATAGAAGTTTTTTGAAAATTTCAGTTTATTATCGCGGTTTTTAGGTTAGGTACGTCATGCCGAGTTTGGTAAACGGTCGTAGTGAAGATAGTTTTTTACCTAGAAGCAATGCTGCAAACTTTGCTACTAAATTCCCACCTTACATAGGAAACAAAAATATTTCAGAATTTCAAAATAAGCGTAAGATTGTTCAAAATTGGACTGAAACTGCGTAATTGCTGCGTAATTTGAAAATTTTTGCGTAATTTCTGCGTATTTTGACAATTTTTCCTGCGTAATGGCGTGCGTAATTGGGAAATTTTTCTGCGTAATGTTGCGTAATTTGCTGTCGGGGTTGCGTACGCAGAACGGTAACACTGGTTAGATGTTCTTGCACTCCGTGTGGAAAAACTTGGAATGCAATTAAATGCAAGTTACTATCTAAGCAGCAATGCCTCCATCAGTGCATGACAAATAAAGTAAGGACAAAAATTGTATACCTTCACATTCATCGCTTGGTGTTGCTGACAGAGCAAGGTCCGTGCAGAAATTAAGGAAGTACAGTAAAATGTAAGATAAAGAGGCGAATTTCATGTTGAACTGACAAAATACACCGGTATTGATAAGGACGTGAGTGATCACGGAACTTTGATGAGGGGTCTAAACGCAAAACACTTCGCTTTGAATGAGACAAAAATATAAAGGGTACAATTTGTAGACAGAAGATGAAAACTGATTGAAACCGCTCGAGATTGATAAGTTCTGCTTTCACGTAGACTAGAAAATTTCGCGAAATCCTCAAAGCCAAAGCTCAATCACTGTCACTGGAAAAAGCCCACGTTTCAGGTTAGGAAATTTAGAAACAGTTGTCGAAATGTGATTGGTCTTCGCACCAAAAGCGTCAGCTGCAAAAGCGAAAGCGGGTAATTTGAATTGACGCTCCGCAGTAGCAACCAACCAACGTAGATTGTTCAATTTTTTTTAAAAAAACTTGTCAATTTTTGAAGAAAAAAAACTCTTAACTGTCACTATGCTCATCTTAGGAAACATTTTAGGGAATTATTTTAAGTAAAACTAACGTGGGGTAAAATCTAAGTCATATAGTGTTATGGTGAGTAGTCAAGCTTTCTGACGTGGTCGAGCTGTCATGCGATATATGGTATCGATTAGGTCTAAAATCTCGGCAGATTTTGAATTTTCAGCCAAAAAGAAGGACGATAGCCTTTGAGCATGAGCCTAAAGAATCATTCTAAACCAATTGATTGGCAAACTTTAGGGAAATGCAAGTAGAGTCCCTCTTGGGAAAAAAACCTCGCATTCGATACAGAAATCGATGACTGTATCGAATGCGAGGTTTTTTCTGGCGAAGGATTCGGCTTTCAGTCCCCTGAATTTTGCAAATTTTTTTGTTTATTATGATTCTCTAGGCTCATTCGCAGGGGCTATCGTCATCTCTCAGGCTAAAAATTCTAAATCTGCCAAGATTTTAGACCTAATCGATGCGATATGTCGCATGCCAGCTCGACCACGTCAGAGAACTTGCCAAATCACCGTTAAAAAAACTCTTATACTATTAAATGTAGCTTTTCAACTTTAAAATTTTTGAACGAAATTTTCAAAAGACTCTTTAAATAGTTATAGTTTTTTCCGAAGATATAACAAAAATTTCTCAAAGAGTTAAATTTTCCTCAATTAAAAAAATAGTCATAAGGGGTTACCCAAAACGAACATTTGAACAGATATTTTTATTTTTATATGAGTTTGCATTGTGTCGACGAAAATTAGCAAATATTTTTAATCTCGAGAAACACACAATAAATAATGTGGATGGATTTTAGGATTTTAGATGAATAGTTATTTTATTGTCAACTTACAGCGCTCTAGTGACTCATTTTAGTACTAAATTTGAGAAGCCATTTTGGTTAACCTCAATGAGGTGTGTCTCTCTAAAATGTTTATCCTTGCATAGAAGCGTGCGAACAGCTGTAGTCTCACAGTTGTGTGAGAGAGATGGAAGAAGCAAAATCATAGGAAAAAAAGGCCTTCGGAGCCACCGTTAGTAATCTCGTATGGCCATCTGTGAAGTATGTCGATCGAGACGCGTTCAAGTTCGGCCCTTTTTAAAAGGGCTGAACAACTTAAACGCTGGGACGACTCAGAAACAAATCGCGAACCCAGTTCCCCCGTCAATAAGTCAAAGAAAATAAAATTTTCCCTCGGGTGTGTGTTCCTCGCGGCTTGTGCAGCAGGCGACAAGGATGAAGTGCTTCGGTTACTCAAACTCGGCGCTGACATTGACACCGCAAATGTCGACGGACTGTCCGCTTTGCACCAGGTTAATTATTACTTAAATTACACCCTTATACTAAGCTTTTCTAAGACCACAAGCCCTGGTTGCTAATTAGGGCTGAAAGTTTTTCTTCGCTCCTCACTGCACACCGCAAAGTTGGGTTTCGCACCCAGCGCAAGTAATCATTGCCACTATTTGTTGATTCTAATTTGCTTCAACCACATACCGCATTTTGCCTTATCACGTCATAGTTCTGGAACTCAGAGGGAATATAAAAGATCATCCTTTTTAGGTTGTCTTCCACCTTTGACACGCAAATCTTTATAGCACTGCACAACATCTCTATACTTGTTGAGGGTTGCACAAGCTATCAAGATCAGGGCTCTAGTTTTAGCCCAAACAGTAATGGTATTTTTCTGATGCCCTGTCTTGTTTGGGATATTTGTACATCAGATTGTGAGCATGTCTGCTTTCTCTGATTGATTCATGAGTGTTAACAGAGATTCTGCCTGATAAGCTTCCTCAACCTTGATGCATAAATTAATGGAGTCGGACCTAGAGAACTTTGGTCTAATCCAGAGCAGGGTTGGATATGGGCTGGGTTACTCGCAGTCTTCAGCAGATTGACAGTGTTACAATTAGAATTGAGATTCAGATTGGGGAGTGTCCTGAAGTTGAATTTATACTTCAAGGGGTTTGAATAATTTGAGGTTAGGATTTTATGTAAGCACTCCCCGAAAACCTGAACACCTCAGGAGGACATTCCACACTTTTCAGTAGAATGCCTGGTGACTTTCTGGAGATCAGAATCAAGATTTTTTCAAATTTTTACGTCCAACTATGTCCTACTATGGCAGTGATAAAAAAAGACAGTCCTCAGACTAGTCTCTTGTTTACCGTCATAGAGTGTAATAGAGTCGCAATGTACTGGAGCGCCGATGAAGTCACTTTTTGAGACTGTTTTGCCCTGTACTGCTGAGACTAGTCCGTAGAGACTTGCAATGCTGTATGCATGGGGTCCCAGCTCCGGGCTTTGCACAGAAAATGCAGGTATACAGTTTATTTCGTAAATACCGGGAGTTTCTCACAATTTTTAATTTGTTACGACTTTGGTCGACATAATTTGCAAAATTTGCAAAAATAATTCTTGAATTAAATCAACAAATCCTGAAAGCCATTTGCAGACAGCGATTCTCTCCTTAATCTCTGTGTTAAAAAATGCCATTTGGTTCTCACTTGGTTTGCATTTTCGGCGGACAAAGGGCTGAAAATGGGCCTTTCATGGATTGCCTTTATTGGCGTTCCAATAAATTGCAACTCTATCGTAGTCAATGTTTACCGCTTATTTATCAGATTACATTATCCTCTTATTCTATTTGCGGCTTTAGAATATTCTCCCAATTCAGTAACATTCTAACAATACTACTTAAAGATTTTTCATTGTCAGTTTGAGGTCATATAATTTCCTGATAGCTGGCTCAAGTATGTCATTTTCTCGAAAACTGCTCTCTTCGTTGCAAGGACTGTTCGATTATCTTGGCAATGTTCTATCCTCGACTTTAACACACTTTATTTCCCTGGGTCGTTTGTTGACCTCCTACAATGTACTGGTTGTAGCAGCGCTGGCTCTATGCCAGGGAGGTCCCAGGTTTGATTCTTGGCCAGGTGACCGGAGTTTGATGGTCTTGAACAAGGGAGTTTCTGCCCCTACCTTTAGGAGTTAGTATCTCGGAAGCTGATGGCTCATTGGGTCAGTTGTGCTGGTCACAGATTCATGTTTTGATGCTTGATTGTTGTGGATTAGCAAAAATTATTAGAAGTTCAAGCAGCAACTCTCTACGTTCAATATTACCCTAGTTATCTCCCTTTGAAAAGTCGAGTTTTTGACGTCATCCACCGCAGTAGAGACACACTTGGTTTCTTCCATCATACCGACTGATGAAAGCAAGGTGAAAGAAACCAAGTGTGTCATTACCGCGGTTGATTATGTCAAAAACCCTAGGTTTCAAAGGGCGATATCTCGGCCAATATTGAACGCAGAAAGTTGCTGTTTGGACAGATCTTATTATTTTAAGCTAATTTACAAGAAACAATTTTCAAAACACAATTCTGTGACCAGTGCAACTGATCTACTCTTGCCATTTAGGTGTTGATGTAGGTGAAAATTTTCTAAAATTTCTGATTTCCTGTGGTCCATAACTTGAACTCTGTCCCACCTAATGTAACCAAGAAAGTGGCCTGCGGGCTGATTGTTGAAAGTGATAGACAAAGAAGACATAGGGAGTGTGGAGCGATCCTATTGGTTAAAATGCAAGGTCCATATAGACTAAGTGAGAAAATTATGAACTAACTACAGGGTCTCTGGTGGGTTGCCAATAGTTAGTCTATTATCTACCTCCTTTGTCCATTGCGACAAATCGCTTCCACCAATAGGATCCCTCCATATCCCTTTTGTCTCATTTTTCTATAACTTAGTCTATTAATTTCAATAATCGGCCCACTGGTGCGGTTGGTCTGGATCACCCTGTATCGTAATCGAGAAATTGCGAGTAATGCAACCATTTCGGACAGGGCTGTCGAGGTACGAGAGGCCAGGACGGAGGGTGAACAATTTCAAAATCGTAGTATCTTTATTTTTAGATGTTTCCTCTCCTGATCATAATATATCCCCCAAAAGCTCAACGACAGGTCGTAACAATTGTAATTTAGGGGTGCAGAAAATGCTCAATCACGTGCCCAAGCGGGCGCGTAAAAATGTGGAAGCCGGGAAAATTCAGAAGGATCAAAAGTCGAAAGTCGACAAACGGAAAATTGAAGAAAATAGGTCAACTTTTTTTAATCGGTGGGAGATTTTCTGGAAAACCGACGAGAAAAATGTGGGAAGCCCGCGTGCGGGCGCGTGAAAATGCGGAAAAGCCCTCAAAAAATGTGGAAGGGGGGAAAATTCTGAAGGGTCTAAAATCGGAAGTCAACGAATGGAAAACAAGTGAAAATGTGGGTGCTTCAAGGGTGTCTACCTGTCTAGTGACCTTGGAAACCGGGAAATGTCAGGGAATTTTTTTTTGTGTCTGGGGAATCAGGGAAAACGTCAGGGAATTCGCAAAAATTCGGCATGTCAGGGAATTCCCAAAAATTCTGGAAAGTTTATTTTTAAAAATTGCTTAACACCCTGAATGCGGAAGCTTGGAAGCATCCGCACCCCTGTTGTGATAATAAATCACTCCGGATAATTTGAAATCATAGATAGGGCTGCCCTTGCAGGCCCAAAGAGCCCCATCATCTAACCTCAAAATTACCGACGAGTCGGCACTGTAGCCAGAGCTATAGACACCCTCTGAATCGAGCGCCTTGATCATGGAATCACGACCTTGATCGATATACATCAATGCTAAGATAGAGATTTATCGATAGAGGTCATTTCTGCGTGCTAAGAAAAAACGCCGTATGAACATTCGAGAGTTGTCAAATTTCCTTGGATAAATTGTTTAAGTATTTTTAAGGAAAGTTATGAATATTTTTCCGAGAGATTTTCAAGAACTTAGGGTAAAATTGCGAACAAAATTACCTGAAAAATTGGAAGAAAAATATTTACAAATTTTCCCAAAAATTCGTGATTTACCAACGGCAATTTGGCAACGACTGAAGGTCTATGTGGCGTTTCTACGTAGCATGGCAGATTTGACAAGGATTCAAGAATCGAGCCCAGTGTTCGAAACTCACAGGCGCCAAATGCGCCTAAGAAATCGGCCATGGCGCCTAAAAAATGAAGGCTCTGCGCCAAAGTGGCCCCTAAACCCCCCCCCCCCCATCCGAAAAAAAAATCCTAAGTAATTTTTTCCGCTGGATGATTTTTTGCAAATTACAAATTACAGCCACTAGTTCTGTGACTAAAACATATTGCGTCTAACTTTTCACTGAATGCGCCTTGGTATTTAGGCAAAAACAGGGTGCCTTGCATCAGGAAAAACCGGAAAATATCAGGAATTTCGGCCGATCAGGAAAATATCAGGGAAATCGGAAAAATCGGACATTTTATCAGGAATTTTTCTCACGCCAATCTCCTCAGCGGAGAAGTCTTACTGCTTTTTGCCTACCGTGCCAGGAGTCGTCGCGCCGTCTTTGTTTCCGGAGAAAAATCGGGAAAATATCAGGATTTTCAAAAAAGGAAAAAATCAGGAATTTTTTATAAAATATCAGGAAAAATCAGGAAGATGTCAGGATTTTTCAAAATTAAAATATACTAGACGCCCTGAAAAAGTCAATTTGGCCCCTTTAAAATCTTCCATGGCCCCAAAAATTCGAGCTTGATGGGCCACACGGCTCCTGAAACTTAAAGGTGAGTTTCGAAGACCGAATGCTGGAAACTCGAGCGAAATCTGGAACGTTTCCGAGGCTGCATCCGGCAACGCTCCAGCCCCGTCTGGCTTCGGGGCTTCGGGAGCACGGGAGCTCTGAAAATAAACCTATTCCCTATTCCCGATTCCCGATCCCGTTTCGCGTTTGCGAGCGGCGGTCCGTCCCGGAGCGGAGCGCGGAGCGGCGACAGAGAAGCGTTAAATTTAGCCGCACCACCCTTTTGCCCCCCTCATGCCCCATGGGTCCCCCCCATTGTTTACAACCGCGAACCCGATCGCCCCGCCCCACCCCACCCCACCCCGCCGCCGAAAACGGCCTGTCAATTCAGTCTCGAGGTATAAAAAATCCCCAGGGTGTCTACCTCGAGAAAACCGAAAAATATCGGGAATTCCATGTTATCAGGAAAATATCAGAAAAATCGTTTGTGGATCAGGCACTACTGCCTTTCTGAAGCGTTTTTAAAAAATTTCGGCGTTTTCCGCACGGAAGAGTGCAACTCCATTCCAAGGTTGCGAAATTGGCTCAAATTCGTTAAAAATGTTCCTGTGCAATTTTCGTCCAAAACACACATTTTCGCATGATTTCGGAGGGAAAATCACGAAAATTATCGGGGAGAAATGCCGAAGATTCTGGAATTGCAATTTGCGAGAGGAAATTTGGCAGTATTGAACATAGTTAATTATTCCGAG